GGGTGCCCCTCCCAGCGTGTCTGGTGGGTGCCAGTATCGGACTCTGGGTTTCAGTGCAGGTGGCTCCTGGGACCCCAGGAATCGGGTAATGTCATTCCGCTTCTCAAAAAGTCTTCAGAGTTCCCTTTGCAGAGCAAGCCCCGACTCTGACAGAGCGCCGCAGGGGTCCCCACATCGGCCCTCATCTGCCTTCTGGGCCTCGGGCCCTCTCTCCAAATCCCACACTCACGGTCCATTCCTCCGTGCTTCGGCTCAGACTGTTTTCTCGGCCCGGGAGGCCTTTTCCCTCTGCATCGGGACCCTCCCCCCCCTCCCCCCCCCCAGGGCCTGGCGAGGATGCTGCTTCCTGTGGAGGGTCTCCAGGAGCCTAGTCGGACAGCTGGTCTCCCGGGTGCCCATCTCTGCCCAGGACCCACCCCTAGCATCGAGGTGGGTGCGGCTTCACAGCACAGCATCCCCTGGGAGAACTCAGGAGGGCCTGGCGGGGCTGGTGGGAACCGCTGCCTCTACAGTCACATGTGTCTCCTCCACCTGAGGGGCACACGTGTCACCTGGGTCTGTCTTGTAGGGACAGAGGCCTGGCCCATCATAATTTTATTAAAAAAATGTTTTTTAGTGTTTATTTTTTTTGAGAGAGACAGAGCATGAGCAGGGGAGGGGCAGAGAGAGAGGGAGACACAGAATCTGAAGCAGCCTCCAGGCTCCGAGCTCTCAGCACAGAGCCTGTTGTGGGGCTCAAATTCATGAATCATGAGATCATGACCTGAGCTGAAGTCGGACGCTGAACCGACTGAGCCACCCACGGCCCCATCATAACTTTAAAGACGGCTTGTGGGTGGGGGAAGGGGAAGCAAGAGTTCACACCTGATGTTGCTGACTATCTACCAGCAATGGTGCTGATTTACTTTTGCACATGACTTCACTTAATCCTGACAGTTTTTGGTAGGACAGTTTTTCAGATGAAGAAACCAAAGCTCAGAGGAACTAAGGAACTTTTCCAAGTTAGTATGAGAAGGGCGAGGGCAGGGTTCCAACCCAGCTGTGTGTTCCCTCAAGGCCAAAGATCTAGGTGTCCCAAACTGGGTGTTCAGGGGCATACTAGGGTGGGGGGGGGTGGGCTGGACGGGGTGCCTGTCTGAGGCTCCTCTGCAGAGAGAGAATGTTTCAGTGGGGGGCATTGTGGGGTTCAAAACCTAGGTTTGTTCGCTCTGCCGTCTCTCCCCTACTCCCCTTCTCTCCCCACCTTGACATACACCACCACTGTTCCCACCCAGCATGTCTGAGGAGGGGAGAATTCTGACTTATGGGAACCCATGTCTCTCAGAGGTCTCTAAAAGGAGGAGCGGGTAGTGTCATGGCCACACAAAGGAAGCTGCAAGTGCGGCAGCCCCTGGGAGCGTGGATTGGTGGGGCTGCACCTCAAGATCGGGGATCCCTTCCCTCCCCAGCCTCCCTGCTCTGACGCATCCTCAGAGCCTCTCCTTTGCCCTCCTAAGTAAGTGCTGTCCTTCTGGGGACCCCCAGCTCCCATGGGAGCCAAGCGGACGTGGAATGGGGCATTGGCTCCTGTGGGCTGTGCAGAGCACAGGGGTGATTGGGACTTTGTCCCTGGGGCTGACATTCTTTACTGGGCCAGCCCTTACTTTGTTTCCTCTCCACTTGAAACCCGAGTCCCTTCTGCCACCCTTCTTCATTCCTGTGGTGCCAGTCACCATGGAACCTCTATAGCCATAGCTTTAGTGGAAAGAGCGGACAACGGTCAGTTACCTTGGGCCACTCCATTCCCTGAGCTGGGAAACTGAGGTTGAGGGTGGAGGAGTCAGCCATCTTGGGCAATCCAGAGCCTCAGGGAGTGAGGACAGAATCCTGGTCCCCAGAGCCCACTGGCTATTAGCCCTTTAGGTCAGGGGTTGGCTGTTCCAATAAGGAATAGTCATTCTCGGTGCCCAGAACAGAGCAGTGCCAGGTGCAAATGTGGGCTCAGTGAATTGTGTCTTGGTCAGGTGCCAAGTACGGTCCATGCTACACCCAAAGGCTTTGTGTACATTAAGCTGGAGTTTCTGATCTTGGGTTTTATAGTTTGCGCGTGGATTTTCAAGTTCCCACCAGGTCATGGGTCTACACGATTTTCCTGGAGAGGGGCCACCCATGGTCCTCACATAAGACATAAGACATGGCTCTTTGTCCAGAGGCAGCTGTGGCCACCTCCCCCTGGGCAGGAGATCCTCATATAGACCCTGAGGGCCTAAGAGGTCCCACGTGTAGACATAGGCAGGGGCAGGCCTGAGGGGGAGTCTGCCTGCAGGGGTGACGTGGATACAGGTTTCCTTTCTGGACTGCCGGTGTCCCCCAGGGCACGGAGTAGTGTCAGCTGTCTTGGCCAGTGGCCATTCTGCCCGCTGAGGAGGTGGTGGCAAGTGGGGAGGGGACTGTCTTTTTTTTTTTTTAATGTTTTTTATTTATTTCTGAGAGAGAGAGAGAGACAGCGTTGAGCAGGGGAGGGTCAGAGAGAGAGGGCAACACAGAATCCGAAACAGGCTCCAGGCTCTGAGATGTCAGCACACAGCCCGATACGGGGCTCGAACCCATGAACCGTGAGATCATGACCTAAGCTGAAGTCGGACGCTGAACCAACTGAGCCACCCAGGCGCCCCTGGAGGGGACTGTCTTGATCAGAATGTCCTTAGCAGTAGAGGTGGCCCCTGAAATTTTCTCGTCTGTACTCTCAGGCAGCTCCAAATCTTTAGCCTCTTAGTGAGTGATCCCTTTGGGGAAACTGAGGCAGCAATAATCACTTTGACAGCGTAAGGTGAGAAACAGGGCTGAGATCCCATCAGTGTGAATCTGGGGGCCCCAGGGTGGCTCAGTCAGTTGAGCTTCTGACTCTTGATTTCAGTTCAGGTCATGATCTCACAGTTCATGTTCGAGTCCCACATCAGGCTCTGCATTGACAGCGAGGAGGCTGCTTGAGATTCTCTCTCTCTGTCTCTCTCTGCCCTTCCCCTGCTTGCATGTGCTCTCCTCTCTCTCTCAAAATCAATATCCTTACAAAAAAAAAAAAAAAAAAAAAAGAAAGTGAATCTGAACTGTAGCCCAGTGGTTCTCAATCCTGTTTCAACCTTAAAATCACTCAGGAGTTAGGAAAAAGATACCAGTCAGATCCCTGAGGGCTGCTCCCTAGAAAACTAATTCAGCAGGAGCCGGAGGAATCTGTCATTTTATCAGTTCCCAGGCAATTCTGATTTGCAGCCAAGGTCAAGAACAAGGGTTGCAGCTAAAAACCACTTTTCTGCATAAATTCACCTCTGGTGTGGTGAGATATGGCAGCAGGAGTCTGTGGGGCCTGCGGCTCGCACTGTCCCCAGCACCTGGGCTCTAGCTTATTTGCTCTAATTCGGTTGTAGATGGTCTGTCCCCGTCTGGAACATTCCTGCCGGGCTTTGCTGCCAATCTCTTGAGTGTGTCTTTTTGCCAGCTGGCTGGGGAGAGGGGCGGGGCGTGGAGACTGATGTCCACCACGTGCTCAGAAGTGTTGCATCTCATGGACGTTCCCAGCTACGTGCCACATCCTTGTGGCCAAACGCTTATCTTAGCAGTCAGCAGACAGGGAGTTGCGAGGACATTCCTCCTCAGAGCTCGAGGACGTAAGCAGGGAGACAAGGAGAGGCTGGGCTGGCACCTCTGTTTGGGCCAGAAGCGTTGCTAGGAGCTGCTGTGTCCCTGGGGCCTGGGCGGGGCCGGTGGCAGGCTGGCTTCCAGAGGGAAGGCTGGTTTTCTCACTTCCTGAGTTGGGATTTGCTGCTCAGCAAAAGGAAGCTGGCACTGCCTCTTGCCCTGTCCCCAGATGATATCTCGAGGGAGCTACTCCAGAGTGGAGACAGGGACACGTGGCCTTTACCCCTGATTTTATCACTGATCAGCCCTGGCCATCTACCTCCCTGCCTGTTGGTCACCTTTTGCTCAGCAAAGACTGTAAACTTGTGTGAAGTGGCAGAGTCTGTGGTGAGACCCTTGTCTCCTGGAAAGAGAATGAAGTTAGGTCAAGAGCAAGAGTGGACGACTCACCCAGAGTTTGAGGGAGATTGAGAAGAGGCCTGAAGTGGTCAAGCAGTTGGCCACAGGACAGTGAAACGAGTCTGACGGAAGTTTGGCTTGGTCAGTGAGGTGAGAATGAGGGCCAAGAACTTCATGCAGATGGAGACTGGCACATCCTGAGAGAACACAAGAGGGCCGATTTTTGGGGAGACCCCACCAGCTCTCTGAGGGATAAGCAGGGATGTAAAGCTCGACATTTGTCGTGAGCTTCTAGCCCGGCTGGCAGAGACCGGAGAGAAGGAGTTTTGAAGAAAATAAAAACTAATGGAGAAAGAAAGAGTCAGACTCCACGTTGATAAATTCCGCCTTCCCCGGAGACCCTCAGGTATCCCTGTCAAAGCCACAAGCGAATCCAGGTTCGTGGGTTTTGGTGACACTCTTCATAATCAACTTTGCTCACAGTCATGGAACTTGGAATGTTATGAACGTCTGAGAGAGTCAGAATGCCAGACAAGAGGTGTCCGTTGGTCCAGCAGCAGATTTCTTCAGTATAAGAGTATTTCAGTTCCTCATGGGCTTCCTGCAAAGTGATTTAATTTTCTTCCTGCAAATTTCTTATTTGGGGGCACCTGGGCGGCTCAGTCGATTAAGTGTGGGACTCTTGACTTCGGCTCAGGTCAGGATTTCACAGTTTGTGAGACTGAGCCCCACATCAGGCTCTGTGCTGGCACCATGCAGCCTCCTTGGAATTCTCTCTCTCCCTCTCTCTCTCAACATAAATAAACATTTTAAAAAATGTTTGTGAAAATGTTTGTTATTTGTACTGACTTTGCTCAGCCGCTCCCTACCCTAGGTCTCTGGATAGTACAAGCTGTGGACTTCTGGACCCCCAAGGATTGCGCTCACAGCCTAGGAAGTAGCGGCAGCCTCTGGACAGTCTCCCAGGCACCTTCACCGATCGGGGCATGGGCACCCGTGATGCTGTCCCCCCAGGTGAGGGACTGCACTCTGCCTGGGAGGTGTAGCCAGGCAGGTGGCCGTGCCTTCACGCCCTGGCCCAGGCTCTCTGCCGGCTACGCTGGCCCTCCATGCTCAGTTTCTTGCCTGGGGCCTCCCTAGCCTGGGGAAAGGCTCAGAGAGTTCTAGAAACTTGTCTGAGTGTTATGTAGAAACTAATTTGACAATAAACTATTTGTAAAAAAAAAAAAATAAATAAAAGATAAAACCCAAAGGTTGACAACACAGAAAAAAAAAATTAAAAAAAAAATAAAAGAATACGAAAATAATCTTACCAACCAATTAACAGTTTAAAAAAAAAAAAAAAAAAGAAACTTGTCTGAGCTTTGGCCCCACTCTGTGCTGGTGGGCTGGCTGACGAGCTGACCTGGTTTGTGGATGGAGCGCAGGATGGTCAGAGGACATGCGGTGGGGCCTCAGGGAAGGCTGGGTGTCTCTGTCCCCTCTGCTGACAGGGCAGGATAATGGAACAGTGTGGCCACTCAGCGTCAGGAGATGGGGTTCCAGGCCCACTGTGTGAGGGTGAGGGGATCCTCAGGTCCTGCCATGGATGGACGGGATGCTGGTGAGGTGGAGAGCTGCTTTTCCCTGGGGGGGGGGAGGGTGGGGGGGTGGAACAGGGGCCTTGTGATGACTTGGGAGGAATGTAGAGGACCCCAGAATGTCAGAGTAGTTCAGGAAATAGGTCATGACCTAGGGGCAGAGCAGCACCCTGGGGCTTTGCTATATTAATGTGAGAGCAAATGCATATTTTAGTGCCACCTTCAGATCCTGTCGGACATTAGATTCTTGTAGGGAAGTGGGAAGTACTGAAAACTTACGAAAAACCTAGAAATCTAGAAATAGAATGAAGATGTAACCGTATAAACCCATAGTCTTGTCCAACTCCTTTCTCTTACCAGTCTGGGAACTGAGACTCAGAGAGGCTAACTTATTTCCTCAAGGTCACACAGCAGACAGAATCGGGAAGGGAACAGATGCCTGTCTCCTGGTCTAGGACCTTCTACCCTAGGGGTGGGAGTGCTGGGTTGCACCTTAGTGAGGGCTTCTCCAGATGGTGGGTTAGGGCCCCGTGGATGGTCCTGCGGTGTGCTTGGAAGGGGGAGTCACGGGGGTGTAGGACTAACTAGCTTGTTGACATTTAAGCGCCTCCTGAGTGCAGGTCCTTGAAAGATGAATGGGAAGTGGTCCCTGTGCCTGGGTGCAGAGAGGCTGGGAGGGGAGAGGCAAGGAGAGGGGTGGGTAAGATGGGGGCATGCCCCGGCTGCTGTGCGGGCACAGAGGAGAGGCAAGACTTCTCAAAGTAGTGGGTGCTCAGCTGAGGCTCCCCCTCCTGCTTCCTGCCTCTCAGCTCTGGATGCCTCCCTCTGGGCTCCTGGCCCCACATTGTCGCTCCTTGTTACTCATTGTCTCCCCCACCTGCCTTCAGGCCCCCTCCCTGGGCGACACAGTCCCTGACAGCGTTTGATGAGTATCCATGATATGAATTAATAAAATCAATTTGCTGAGCGGGGGAAGTTTAGGAGAAGATGAGGGGTCAGTGCAGGACACCCTGATGAGGTGCTGGAGGACCCTCAGGAGAAGGTTGTTGAGCAGGTAATTGGATGTTCTGCTTTGCTACTGTGGGGAGAGGTCAGGGCCAAAGCCACGAGTCAGGGGGTTACCACATGAGGGTGACAGTTAAAGGCACGGCAGTGAGGAGTGGCCCATGAGAGCAGCTAGTGTGAGATGTGCCGTGGCCAGAGGCAGGGCGGGCTGTGGAGGAGGGGAGCCCATGAAGGAGGCTAAGAAGGTGCGGAGTGGTCGGGTGGGGGTGGGGGCTGGAGCAAAGCTGGAGGGAGAAGACAGGTGAGTGTGAGAAGGATCCAGGGCTGGGAAGAGTGCGGTGGTGGGGTTTGCTGGGGATCGTGGTATCCCGCCGCTGGCTGGGCATGGGGTGGCGGGCCCCCATCTGTGGGCCAGGCTCTGGACTGGGGGGATGGGCCACAGAGACCCCGAGGGACAGAGTGCTCCGACAGTCTGTTCCTCAGTCCCGGGCTCAGTGCACTCTAAGGTGACGCTCTTCCCGTGCTCTGTCCCCAGCCAAGGTTCTGGCCCCGGTGGCCGTGTACTGCGGGAGCGTCCCTCGGGCCAGTGCCGGGCCCCGCGCACTCCCGGGCAGAAGCGGTGACTCCAGGCTTGGAACTTACGGAGAAGGTAAGGTTGGGGAACTTGGCCTGTGACTCGGTCACTCCAAAGGGCCTTCCAGTGCCCTGAGTGGCATCTCTGGGGACTTGGGGCAGAGAACTAGACTTCCACCATCAGCTGCCTGATGAGGACCGGTGACCAGAGAGCAGAGCGTGGGCCTCCTCCTGGAGAGAGGAAGGACACTGTTTGGATGTCTGGCTGTGTCCTCCAGCTCCTGTCTCTCTGCGGTTCCTGCTGCACATGCCCCTTGGTTTTAGGTGGATCCTTTCAATTCTGTGCTTCTGAGATGAATGCACGGGGCGGGGGGGGGGGGGGGGGGGGGGGGGGGGGGGGGGGGGGGGGGGGGCCACAGGAACAAGGAAGTGGGGATCTCAGCATGCCCCTCACTCTCCTCAGGACCCGGGGGAGCCCATGAGCCCCAGGAAGACCGGATCTGCTGCTCCCCCCCCCCCCCACCTCGCAGGGCCGTGGTGGGGAGGTGGGAGCCTCTAGAGGGGCAGACGCCAGGGCAGTGAAGTTTTCAGGGCGCCCATTCAGATTCCCGACCACTTTCTGCCCTAACTTCCAGCTGCAGACCCTCTTCTGTGCAGGGCTCCATTCCCAGGGTTCTAGATGGAGAGCTTACTTGTTCCAATTACTCGCCCTCTTTCAGGCTAGTCGCCTCGCAGGCCTGTGGCTGGCACCGACTTCAGCCTTTGCTGGGTCTGGTGCTGTCCAGTATCCGTGGCTTCTTCTGTGGGTCTCGTGGCTTGTGTCAAGGCACTCTAAAAAATGCACTGTGGGTGGCAGAGATTCTAAAAAGTGGTCTCTGCTTGTTTTCCCCGTTCCTTCCACGGTCTAGGCTCTAAAGCTCAGTTCGAACACTACCACACACACAAAGCATTCTGTTGATATCGCTGTTATGGCACACGCCACATTTTACCTTGTAATGGACCCATTTGGGGACAAATCTTATTTCTCTAATAGATTGAAAGTCCTTTAGTGATAACGGACACCTCTGTGCCTCCACTGCTTGGATGGTGCTTGACGAATACTAGACGCTCCCTGAGTGCTTGTTGAGTGAGTCATTGACAGAGTCTGCATGGAAACACGATCTGTTCTGAGTCACCTCAACTTCCCTTTTCCGTCTGCATTTGGTAGAGTCAGGTGCATCGAGGGCATTGGTCGGGAGCCTGGAGATTGCCGGACGGTGGTCCCTGGGCAGGGGGCCAACCCTAAGTATTTATGGCCTCACATCTGTGCAGTGATAAGGATGCATATCGAGTTCCCTTTTCTTCCCTCAAGTAGCTCATGACACAGGTCTTCACAGATACTGTTGAATGAATGAGCTGAGCCAAGGAGTGATGGTAACACTGAATGAATGGGGTCATGGGGCAAGTCCTGACTGCTCCAAGGAAGCAGCACCAAAGGTTTTGCTGGTGCCTGGTGCCACCTTGGGCTCTGTGTGCCAAGCCACTCCTGCTTCTGTCTCCCCCAGCCACCCTCCAGCCAGCTCCGAGGGTCCTGCTCGAGAAGCCACTGCAGCTCTTGTGTGGACAGGCAGACCCCGACAGCCTCAAGCTGGATGCCCCTCCAAAGGGCTGGCAGGCCAGGAATGGCCACCCCGGGAACACTGCCGCCTTCTCTCTGGGGCCCAAACCCCCGGCACCCTTTCCTTCTCTGGAGTCCGAGGCCAACAGTGTGGCCCGGGACACCACCCAGATCAAGGACAAGCTCAAGAAAAGAAGGCTCTCAGAGGGCTTGGCATCATCTTCCCAAGGTGAGCCCTGGGCCCTGCCCCCCTGCCACCCACCCAACCTGAGGCCAGGATGCCAGGCTACCTGGCTGTGAGGATCAGACGGCGTGCAGCTGGCAGCCGGGTTCTCTTCAAGCTGCTCAGGGTGAACCCGAGAGCCTGTCAGCTGTCCGCCCTGGAATGCGTGGGCCCCGCCGCAGCCTCCCAGCTAACCTCCCCTTTTCCTCCCTTGCCTCCTGCTAGTCTCCTCTCCAGAGAGGTCCTTTAAATGAATTAATTGACTAATTTCCAAGTCATACCACTTCTGGAATCGCCAGACCAGTGACTCCCTCCCCGAGAGGTCTGAAGTCTTTTTCTAGGCGTGTCCTCTCTTTTCACCAAGTCCTGGTGGAGGAGAAAAAGAACGGGAGCTGTGCGGTGTGCAGGCGGGAAGTGATCTTGATTTATCAGGTCCCTCGGCAGGTGTGGTGTGACAGGGATCTCTAGTCCCCTGAGCAGGGCTGGGGCTGCCCTCGCCACTCTGGGTTGGGGCTATGTGGGCCTCTCTGCGCCACTGCCTAGGTAGGCATGCTGGTGGTGACGTCCCCACCTGGGTAGTGACCCCTCCTCACCTCCTTCCCCGCCCCCACAAACCGATGATAGGACAGGGCAGAGCCAGGCTGGGCAGGGGAGTAGAGAAGCTATTTTGACTTGGTTGTTTTGATGCAGCCACTTTGAAGGAGCTGGGACAAAGTGGCCCTCGAAAGTTCAACGCCAGGTGTTTTCACCACCACCAAAAAATTTGCAAAGACAATCCTGAGCTCCTTACTGTAGGGATGGCAGGGGGTGGGGCAAGGTGCAGGGATGATGTCTGCGGGGCACAGGAGGTACTGATAGCAGGGCTGAAAGTGTAGCGGTCTGCTTGTAGACTAGGTCAGGGTGCCCCCCGCATCAGAACAGCTAACCCTCCACAGCATTGGCTGAAAAGGAAGGGGGAACAGAAGAAATTTATGGGCACCTACTGTGTGCCAGGTACTTTCTTGACATTTTATGTAAGTTATGTCATTGAATGTTTGGACAACCCAATGAGGTAACTACTTGCATCTTACGGAAGAGCAAATGGGGAGTCAGAGGCGTGCCCAAGGTCACACAACACAGCTTCTAGCCAGGACTGGACCCCTCTCTCCTCACTCCTAGTCTAGTACTGGTATATTTCCCTTCCTGCCCAGCCTGCCTCCAAATTTTATTTTATTTAAGGAAAAAAAGTTTATTTGTTTACTTTGAGAGAGAGGGAGAGGGAGGGAGAACACATGCAAGCTGGGGAGGGGGAGAGAGAGAGAGAGAGAGAGAGAGAGAGAGAGAGAGAAGCCCAAGCAGGCTCTTCACTGTCAGCACAGAGCCCAGAGCGGGATCAAACTCACAAACCATGAGATCGTGACCTGAGCTGAAATCAAGAGTCAGACACTTAACTGACTGAGCCACCAGGCATCCCTGCCTCTGAATTTTAACTAGGTGAATTTGGCCCTTTCTACCAAATTTTATAGGAGGGGGAGCAGGCCCTCAGGACCGTCTCCTTGCTCAGCCTGGTGGTGGGGGTGGCACAGGGGTGGATCTCCTTCTGTCCCTGGCCTGGCTTCCATCTCTACTGCCAGTATCTGAACTGCCCCCAGCCCGTGCTCCTGGGACTAACTGATTCCTCATCCTCACCCAGCACAGTCTCTCTGGATCCTGTGGGAGGCCCCAGAGGAGTTCCTCTGAGGAGCACCATCCCCCGGGCCACCTCCCAGAGGCTGCTGAGGGTGCCCAGGCCGATGCCTCCCATCCAGAGCATCCCCACCACCCCCGAGGCTGGAGAAGCCAAGGAGAAGGGTCTGGACCCGCCTGGGAGCAGCCAGGGTCCCCAGGAGCTGAGACCCGGAGCCCAGGAGGTGAGGTGGCTCCACTGCTCTGAGTTTTACCTCTCGGTCCTTCTGTCTTTCCATTCTTTACCATTCCGGGTTCCGGAGCCCTGAGCTTCTCAGATGGTGTCCGAGGGGCTCCCATCCCTCAAGGATGGGGTTCAGGGTCCTCATTTCATCTTCCCGGCAGCTTCCCAGAGCTTCATGGCCAGCCTGCGAGCTCCAGCTGACTGCCCCAGGGCTGTGTGACCACCAGTCCTACACTTCTCTGGTCTGCATGTTCCAGAATTCCTCACGTTTCTGACCCTCCCCATATAGGCTGAGGGGCAAGAAGGCTGGGCTAAAACTCAGGAGACTTGGGCCCTGGTTTCCACTCTGCCCCTCACTGGCTGTGTGACCTCGGGCCGGTCACCTTCCTCTCTGGGACTGGTTTGCACATCTGTAAAAAGAAGACACTGGACCATATATTTTTGAAGACCCCTTTCAGCTCTGATGTTCTAGGATTTCCTGAAATGACAAGAACAGAAAAACAAACAACAAAAAGGAAGTAGGGGTGAGGGCGGCCCCTGGCCAGTCTTCTTTCTTGGAGTGGTAAGGAAACCCTGAGCTTTCTGGGGAGTTCTAGGGCTGTGTGGCTGCAAAGAGAAACCAGAGCACACTTCCCGGCACTGCCGGCCACCCCACGTGGCTCCTGACAAAAGGGACCACCCTGTGTGAGGTCCCTGGGAAGTGAGCATCCAGAACCTTCCCCCAACCTCCACTCCCAGGTGCAGATCTCCAGGCAATACCTGCACTGCAGTGATGAGAAGATGCACAAGTCGCTGGGAGGTGTTGTGATCCCGCCCATCCCGAAAGCAGGGGTGTCTGCTGGGACCTCCTCCCATGCACCTGGCTCCCTTCCTAGCCTCCAGCCTCCAGGCCAGGGTGTCCTCACGGCCCTGAGGGTCCCCTGCACACGGTAAGCTGCCCTAAGCCAAAATTACCTTGCAGTCCCCTCTCCTATCCCTCCAAGATCCGCTGAGCCTCCACGCCGGGGCAGAGCTCTGGGGGACTGCGTGTGTGAAGGGCCTGGCTCTCCCATGAGCCACGGACCTGAGGAGGCCAAGGTGGGCCGGGTGGTCTGGGCTTAGTAGACAATGTCTCAGCCTCTGTCTTCCACCAGTTTCTCGTCTGTGGCTGCTGTGGTGATGAAAAAATACAAGGTGTATTCGTGGTAGCTCCTTATTATTATGTATTTTCTTAATTAATGGATACTAAAATTACAAGCTTTCTTGTGTGTACGTGTGTGTGTGTGTGTGTGTGTGTGAGAGAGAGAGAGAGAGAGAAAGACAGAGACAGAGACAGAGAGACAGAGGAAGAGGGAGGACCTCACTTCCTGCATACCTTTGGGGCCTGCTGTACCGAAGCCCCCCATATCTCTCAGGCCTCCTCACCCCTCCATCTCCCAAACTGCCTTCCCTTCTGTCCATATACATGTCTGCCTCCTTCCCAACCCGGGGGAGCGCAGGCCTGCTCCTGGGTTGGAGCTCTCTGCTCAGTTGGTGGCCTGCCCCATCGACCTCTACCTCCTCACATCGGGCCCTTCCTCCTTTCTGCTCAGACATCTACCCCTTCTCCCCTCAGAGCTGTCCCTGGTGGCTGGAAGGACTCTCCAGCCCCAGACCTGGGACCTTTACTCGCATCTCATTGCTCTTGACTTCACATCACGTGAGGCGTTGATGTTCTTGGAGTCTTCTCCTCCCTTGCTTTCCGGACTTTGAAACCTGCTTCTCGACCTTCTGTAACAAGACCTTCCGGGCCGCCTCCCTGGCGCTCTCCTTCATCCGCCTCATAAATGTGACCATTCCTAAAGTTTGTTCCCGGCACTCTGTGCCCGTCTCCTCTTCTCCCCCTGGGGAGTCCTGTCTGTGCCGTGGCCTCCAGGGATGGGTGTCTTCCTCATGCCCTGCTCTGCCCTGAGGTCTCCCTCGAGTCAAGCTCTGCATTCCCATCCTTCTGTTGGGCGACTCCAGTCTCACCATGTCAGAGAGAGGGAGGCTGTCCCCGTCCCGGCCACACAGATGGGGCACCTCATGTTTCCCCAAATCACCTCCCGATTTCCACCAAGATGCAGGCCTTCTCTTCCATCTTCCAATTTTGGCTTCATCTTTGGCTCTTGCTCCCCTTGCCTTCTGTCCTAACAGATCGCCACATCCCACCCGATCTATCTTCCGTAAAGAAGAGAAAACACAAAAGCCACCACCCCGCCCTTGCCTCTGCCTTTCTTCTCAGTTTTCACTCACTGGCTCCCTCTTGAGCGCCCGTCCCCACCCCCTCCCCTGTCTGACAACTCTTAGCCTTGGCTCCTTGCCTCCCAGGGCTCTGCATCCTAATCTAGTCCAATCCACCGCCCTGTGTACTCTTCTTCCACGCGATTCACATTTTTTGACTTCCTGTGCCAGCAGCCTACAGACGAGTCTCCTTGGTCTGCCATTCAGGCTGTGACCCAGCCCAGCACTCCACAGGCCCCTGTGCTGCCTGCAGGAACCTTCCCACCTCCAGACCCTCCAGGGCCCTGGGAGGCTCCTCCCAACCCTAACACCAGCCTTGAACTCACCCTGCCTTCAGAGCCTACTGCCCTTTAGTCCCCAGTTCCATGCCTCTCCTTGCGCTAAGGCCTTCCCTGCCTTCCTCCTCCAAGAGGTGATGGGGGAAGGGCCTCCTCTGCACTGTCCACACAGCATCCAGCCCATGGACTGTCTGACCACATCCCCTCCACTGATTTGTTCAACTTTTATTTAAACTGCATACCTATTCTTCAACTTGGAGTACTAGAGGGCAGAGGCCATATCTAGAAATCTCTGCGGCTCCCACGGTGCCAAGCTTGGTCCCTGGCGTGGATTAGTCACACAATAATTATCTGCTCATTTGCTGTCCACTTGTGACATGGATTTTTCTCCATTAACTCTGTGAGGCTAGCAAATAGGTGGGAAGGAGCCTCCGTTACCATTTCTTTCATTCATTCACGTATTTATCCATCCATCCATGCATTCATCCAGTTACTTAAGAGCTAGTAAGCACCTACTATGTGCCAGGTGCTGCGGAAACAAAGCCGAACAAGACAGTCTCTGTGTTCCAGGAGCTCATGAGAGAGATTTATAAGAAAACCACTGAATCAAAGTCTAGTGAGGTAAGTACTAAGGTAGAAGGCTGCCCATTGTTCTGGGGAGCGCAGTGGAAAATGATCTCAATTAGGCTAGGAAGCCTTCCTGGAGGAGGTGAAGCCTGAGCTGAGCTTTGAAGGCTGACGGAGAGTTTGGGAGATGAAAAGGGAGCGATGGAGGCATTCACAAACCACAGGGGTTTTGCACGGCGGCACCGGTGCTTATATGACACGGGCAGGTGAGGTTAGTGGGACACCAGGGCCCCGCGTGTGAAACTAAGGACTGTGAGCTTTATCCTGAAGCATGAGGTGCCGCTGAAGGACTTTTGGTGTGGAAGTGCCATGAGAGCTGAGTTACAAAAGGACGCTTTGGCGACTATAGAGGGCTGTGCACACTGGGGCAGGGGCTGCTGTGGGAAGCGCAGGGAGAGGCTGTGGGCGCCTGGCGGAGCAGAGGCAGTGTCTGCGGTGTCTGGACCCAGCCTGGCCTGATCTGGCCTCCTGGTCAGCCCACCCTTGACTTTCCAGACAGAGCTACATCTCCCACAGCTTTGAACTCCTAGCCAAGAGCCTCTTTATAGGGCCACTCACAGTCCCTCCCCAGGGCACCCCGTTGAACCCACTGCCCCATCTGGGGCTACTCGGGCCCCTCACAGCAGGGGCTCCTACTTGTCTCTCATGGTGCTTTTTTCTCCCCTGTTTCTTTAAGGTTGGTTCGGGAGAGTGGGCCTCGGGAGAAGACCCCTAAATCTCTGGGTACGTACCCCCGCTGTGCACTCTCACTTGCTATTTATTCAACTCCCTGCCTCCTGGACTGGGTGTGGGGTCGGAATTGGGGTTAGAATAGGCCTGAGCACTTTGGACCTGAGCCCCTCATTTCACAGATGGAGAAGCTGAAGCCACTGGCAGTGCCACTTGTTGGGAGGGGGGGGGGATGCAGCAGCCCCTGCGCTGTGCCCGGCATGTGGATCTACACCAGCTCATGTAGCTTCACGAGGAGCCCAGCTGAGAGAGAAGGCGCAGAGCCTGTGTGACAGAGGAGTGGATGCACCGAGGCTCTGCAGGCCGGACTTTGTCCCCAGTCTCAGTCCTGTCATATATGCGTGCGGGTCTGCATGGCTCCAAACACAGAGCTTCTGACACATCAAGGGGCTGCCTCTGCATGGGTTTAAGCAAGTAGAGGAGAATGCTCCTCACCAGGCTGAGTGAGAAATGAAGCCACATCCCGTGAACCCCTTAGTCGGTTGGTCCTGGAAGGTTTCGGTGTCAGAGGAATACAGCCGACTGGGCGGCCAGTGGGAGGCCAAGGTGCAGAGAGACTTCAGAAGAGGGAGCAGGAGGCTCTCCAGCCCGGTGACTTCACTCTGTAAAGAGGAGGGAGGCTGAGCCCTGGGCAGGTTGGGTGTGGGGATCTGGACAGAGCACCCCAAGCCTGGGGGGAGGGCTGGAGGCCACTGCTGACCCACAGGAGGGGGCAGACTCCCGGTCCAGCTTTCGGGCAGGCTGCTCCTTACAGCTCAGAGGGTGGGTCAGTTGGTGAGGGGGAGGCTGTTGCCCAAGAAGCCCCAGGGTGAGGACTCGAGCTGAGCCCAAGAGAAATAAACCTCTGTGGTGGCTGCTTCTCCAGTGGCTCTGGCTGGGCTGCAGTGGGTGACCTTGGGCAGTCTGCTCTGACAGCCACTGGCACCCACAGCATCCCTCAACAGCTTCCCTTGCGTGTGCTGTCAGAGGGCTTTGGGCCGGGAGACCTCAGTTTGTCTCCTTGGTCTGCATCGCGAGCTTGCTGCTTGAGAACCAGGTCCCCAGGGGCTTGGTGGCAGGGGCCAGGCTGCTCAGACAAGGTTTTTTAGGAATCCCTTGGAGATGGAGGTGAGGAGAGGGGATGCTAAGTAGTAAAGTCCTTTGAGGGCCTTCTGACCCTCCAGCTGTCAGCTGGGGATGACATTGCCCAATACGTGTAACATGCCTACCACATAGAAGGAGCTCATGTGGTACTGTCTGAAGCTGAGGGCCTCCCAACTCTTGTGGCATCCTGCAGTCCTTGCCCTGGTTGGCTGGTACCTGGATATCTGTCCTCTGCCCTGCCCTTTACTTTTGGGCAAATGGAGGCTTCATCCCTCTTCCATCTTGGCCCTTGATCCTTCTCTGGGATGCAGGCATACGGATCCTTGGGAGAAGGCACGGGCTGGGCAGGGGTCCAGGATAACCCAGGAGCCCTACTGGGGGCCCCAGATTCAAGACATCCCCTCCAGCCTTAGGCAGGCCCAGATGATGTTCCCCATTCCAGTGGACTCCTTATACTCAGGTTCACCCGAGGACAGTGAGCTCCAAACTTTGTGAACAGGAGAACCCAGTTAACATTTCTTTCATTAAAAGAAAACTAATGTACTCCTGTCCTGCCTCCATCACAAGACAACATACTTTTAAAACAATTTTTTAATGTTTTATTTATTTCTGAGAGAGAGACAGTGTGAGCAGGGGAGGGTCAGAGAGCTAGGGAGACACAGAATCTGAAGCAGGCTCCAGGCTCTGAGCTGTCAGCACAAAGCCCGACGTAGGGCTTGAACCCACGAACCGTGAGATCATGACCTGAGCTGAAGTCCGACGCTTAACTGACTGAGCCACCCAGGCGCCCCAAGACAACATACTTTGGAAATTCACTGATTAGGGAACTCTGGATTAACAAAGAGATACTAGTGATTTGATGTCATTTGGAAATGAATTTGTATCGTATCAATCACAAGAGCATCGGAAGGTTACTGGGTCTCAGGTTTCCTGTTTATACAGTGAGAGGGTTGGACTAGCATTGGTTGGTTCTCTCGTCTCTGCATGCTGTGTGGTAAGAGGGCTCATTTCATTTTCTCTCTTCCTGAGGGGCATACCTTCCAGGTAAGATAGACTTATACTCACAGGAAATATCTTAAACTTCTTAGTAACAGACCTGCCCCCTGTTTCCTGCCCATACTTCCTCTCTCCCTTTCTTGTTTTACAATAAGGTGCACAGTAGTTATTGGATGGATGGATGGATGGATGGATGAATAAATGAAAGGAGGAGAACATTCTATGCCTGCCAGTGCTGTTCTGCAGAGTAAATGTAACTTGGTCTTTCACCACCAAGGAAGCATCGGGCAGAACAATGGAGAGAGGCAGTCTCAGGCAGTAATGTGTTATACCAACCACAGGGTCCTAGGGCCCCAGGGACTGCCCAGAGGGGTGAGTACTGCTTCAAGGTGCTGGGTGTCCTCAGCTGTACTCTTGTTCTTGACCCCTCAGAGCCAAAACCTTCAGCTCCACCTGCCAGAGACAGGTCTGCCGCCCCCAAGAAGCCTGCCCTGCCTTCATCTCAGTCTGCTCCTACGCTGACAGCCTTTTCCTTCATCCATGCCAAAGAAGCCCGCCCCTTGCTCAGAGAAGAGGACCAGAAGGAGAGCAGTACTAAGGTATCTGGAAAGCGAGGGGAGGAGAAAGTTGGGGTCAGAGTGGACCACTGGCTGAACACAAGCATGTTTCTGAAATACATAAAAGCGGGGCCAGCTTGAGTAGGGCAAGAAGGAGCCCTGAGGCAGCTACCCTGGCGCTTAAGGCTAGAACCTGTAGATGGTTTGGGGATGAGGACTGAAGAAAGAAAGAGAAACAGGAAAGAGAGAGAGAAGCGTGGGGGGCGGGGGTGGCTGGCTAAGTGAAAGGCAGAGTACAGCGGGCATCTGAGGGGTGAGAAGAGGGAGGAAGAGAGAGCAGAAGGAGGTCACACATGGTTCGGAAGGAAGCAGGATGTGGAGAGTACAGAGGGGCTTAGGTGAACCAAGCCGAGTAATTTGAACCAACACCCAATATAGCAACTGAGAGGCCGCTGACTCAGAGGCAGATAAGCCAAAGGCTGTGCTTGACAGGCTGACAAATACCTTGCACTTCTAAGGTGACCTTGGTCCAGACGATTCTCTTCCCTGGTCTGGATGAATTTAGTAAAACTTGAAGAGTCACTGTTACGGGAGATCTGTGCTCAGTCTCTGAAGTGGAGGTATAAAAGTACAGAAAGCCCTGCTACGTGCGTGCACTATGTTAGGATCCCGTGATGATGATGATGGTAAGGTCCAGGTGCCACAGCCCTCCCACGCCAGCCAGGAGGACGCCAGGACATGAAATGAAGGCAGAATGATTCAGGGCTGTGAGATGACCTCACCACCGACCCCACCGTGGCCACTCACATCCACCATGAGACCTTGGGTCTCATGATAACTTCACCCCTACGGGCACCTCGCTTCCCGGCATCCCCGCCTCCTGTTGTTACGGCATCATCCATCCACACCCCAGCCCCTGGATTGCTCCCTGCTCTTGTGTTAACAACATCCTCCTTGAAATTGGACCACTCCAATCAGCATCTCAGCTCTCTGTTATTTCTATATTCTTCAGAAATCAAAACTATTCCCTTGTCTGTATCCATTCTGTCCTGAGTCCACTGCAGTTGGTTTGGGCCCCACTGCCCCCAGTGACACTGCCCACTCCCAGGCCACCGGTGACCTCCATCTCCCACGTGCAGCACAGCCTAGTCCTCCTCCACCCTGACCCGCCAGTGGCTTTGGTGGCTTGTCCTTCTTGAAGTCTTCACTTTGGGAGGGAAGCGAGGGGATGGCTTCCTTCTTGGTTCTCTGCCTCCATCAGATTTCATTCCTTCCCGGTCCTTCTTGGCTGGCTCCTTCTCATCTACGTGCCCTCTACACACTGGAGGCCCCAGACCTCTGGCCTCTGGTCTATTTACACTAATCCCCCGTGACCTGATCCAGGCCAGGCATTAAGTGGCATCTATATGCTGAGGGCTCCCAAATTTCCCTGTCTGGCCTGGACTTTCCCTGGATCCAGAAGCAGTTAAATTATATAACTAAGTGTGTATTCACTAGTAATATACTAGATACTCTGCATTTCCATTTAGATATCTAATTATATTTCAAACTTCCCTTACCCAAAACTCAACTGTTGAATCTTTACCCCCCAAATCTCTTTTCCCAGGGTCCCCTCTCAGTGAGTGGGAGCCTTCCAGCTACACTGGCTGAAAATCTTGGGCCCACCCTTGCCTCTGCTCTTTCTCTGTCTCCCTACATCTCATATAACAGCAAAAGTGGTGCGCCCTACTCTTAGGACATGTCCAGAATCAGGTCACTTTGTCATCTTCATTCTCACTATGCTAGCGCAAGCCCCACACATGGAAACTCTTGGCTCTATTTTGCAACTTCTTGTAAATCTTAAGTTCCAAATATAAAGCTAAAAAAACAATAACACTTAGGGGAACTCTGCACTGCCCCCTCCCCCCCGCCACCCCACCATGGAAGTCATATCATGTCACTTTCTGTGCTCAGAACATCAGTGGCTTGCTGTGTCCTCCAGAGGACAAGTCCAACTCCCCCGCATGGCCCATGGTGCCTGGTGCACTGAGACTCTTCCCACCTCTGCCACCTTCCACCCCGTGTCCTACTATCCTCTGATTGGAGCGCTCCAGCCAGTATCCTCACCGCCCCCAACCATGTCCAGCACATCCAGCCTCAGGGCCTTTGCATTCTATTCCCTCTGCTTAGCACACTTCTCCCCTAGAAATCTGCATGACCCCTGCTCCCTTATTTCATTCCTGTCTCTGCTTAAATTTCACCTCCTCAGGGAGTCCCTCTGGGTCTTCCTACTTAAAATGGAAGCCCCATCACCCTCTGTCCCATACTATTCTAATACATATTGCCTGATGTTTGAGATTGGCCTGTTTGCTGTCTCTCCACTCCATGGCCGTCCTTAGGGAGCAAGGTCTTGGTGGTTTTGTTCACTCCCAGTACAGTGACGGCACATAGAAGCCACTCACATTCCTAACGATCGAATAAATGAAGGCACAGGAAACATAGTTGGGTCCTCAGGGTAATGGAGTTTGCCTTGACCTTGTGCCAGATCCAGGTCACCATCTCCAAGTCTGCCCAGGAGAAGATGCGGCTGAGGCAGATGAAGGAGTTGGAGTTGCAGAGGGCAAAGGAACCGGAGAGGGAGAGGGAGCTTGCTTCCCAGAGCCTGGGCTCCCGGAGAGCCCTGATGAAGGAAGGTACTGGGTGCCTTGGGCAGGATTCCCTCAGGCTGGGGAGAGCTCTTGGCCAACCCCTGGGCAAGAGAGGGACCACCCACAGCTGCTGTGCTCCCCATCTTCATACCGGACAGGGAACCATGGATGGGCCAAAAGGAAGACACTGGGGCTCAGGACAGGCAGGACTAGCTCCATCCTAGGACTTTCTCTGCCTCCACAGGCCTCCTTCCCCTTCGGGGCAGTGGGACCTTGTCTGTGCCCACTGGGCTGAGCATCCCACGAAGAAACATGGGTGTCGCCCTCAGGAAGCGGGCCAACCGGGCCTCACTGCCCAGCATCCCTGTCAGCAAGCAGGAGCCCAGCTTTGCACGCCATGCTTCAGGTAGGGGCCAGACCAGCTGGCTGGGGGACACACATCCCTCTCACTGCACTGCCTTGGGATGCTTTGGGGCATGGCAAAGGTGACCTGGACTGCTCTGCTTCTTCCCATTACCCACAGTAGAGTAGAGGGTGGCCTGAGGTACGATCATCTTGCCAGAGAGAGAGGAATAGCGTGGGAGTCAAAAGCATCTACGGGCCAGACTGGAGACCCAGGGAATTGCAACTGGAATTACAGGGAGAAGGGCAGGTGTGTCCAGCCTGCATGACATGTCCTAGGGGGCTCACCAGTGCACAGGACCACAGATGCTGGGGAAAAGTATCCACGAGAGTAGCTCGGAACATCAGGAAGAGGAAGAGGGCAGATCGTGAATACGTTGGGCTCCTATAGTTTGCCTTATAAAGTGTCAGGGTTGGATAGGGCTGGTTACAGCCTGGGATGTCAGCATCCAAACGTCCCGTGGGATGCTCAGGATGGTGCCAAGGGACAAAAGAGGCTCTGACCCCATTCTTCCCAAGCGGCGTCTACTTTGCCTCACTTTTTTGTTAATTGCGTATCCACTTTTAGAGTTCAAATTTGAAAGATTTTGCTACTAAAGAACATTTGAAAACAACCAGCCTGGTTCAGAGTTTCTTCAAGTGTGGGATGTGGTGGGAACAAGGTGGTGGGATAGAACACCTTTTTGGTGCCACAAATAATACTGACTCACCCTTCTTTTCCAACCTCTTTCTATCATTTTGATTCTGTCAAGTAGAAAGTCTTAATTTGGTGCTGGTCTTTAGCATGCCTCTCAGATTTGGAATTTCCTTTTTAAACAAAGAGATCTTCCTTCTGCCTTGAGGCATCAGAAACTGGCAATAATTTGATAGCTAGAGTTTATAACGCCCTTCTACTTTTCTTGCAAATATCATATTCTATGACAAAATAATATTTGTTTGCCAATTACAGCAGCAATTGCATAAATTTCCCTTTAGAATAAACTTATTTAAGATTCAAAAAGTGAGTCAGCTTGAAGAAAAATGCCGTATAAATAAAATTATAGGTAATCAAGAGATATGGCAATTAATTGTGAAAGTGGTAATTGAATGGTTGATACTTAGGAGATATTGATGTAGATAATCCACCCCATTTATTTTAAAGACAACAGGACTGAGACCCAGTGAACCAAAGTCCCCTAAGTTGATTTAAGGTGATGGTGGCCCATAGGGGACTAAGATTTTGGCTAATGACTCTTATCCAATGGCGAAGCTGAGAGGAGAATCCAGGAATGAGATCTTTTGTCCGGACTTTAAGTAAAGGATTCCTGTGTCGACTCAGATCTGCCTAGGGCCTCCTGGATGTGCCACAGTGAAAATTATGCCAATAGCAGTGAGTCTCTGAAAAGAAGTAGCCAGGAAGTGAGGGGTGGCAGTGACAGCTCTGGGTTCAGAGCAGACCCTCTTGTCGTGGCTCCGTGGAGGGGACTGTGGGAGGAGGGGCCCAACCTCTGAGGCCTCAATGCTGTGATTTGGGCATTGGACCAGATAGATGGCTAAACTGCCTTCCTTTTCTGCTAGGATCGTATTATTCTGGCACCCATCCCCAAGAAAGGAGAGCCTAGAAAACATGACCTGATTTTTAAACAACATCCCTGCTTTTCAGCAGTCCCTGCCAGTGTGGCCACGTCTTGACCACGTGGGCCCCAGTTAGCTGCATTGTCTTGTCCCCCTGCTTCCTCCTTTGGATCACTTCCCTGCCCGTGGGCAAGTTCACAAAGGATGGAGAGTAGGTTGATAACACAGGTTCCTGGGTGGGGATGAGGTTAGAACACGACCCGTGTGAGTAGGGGCTCCCTCCGTGACCGATTTACGAGCCTCGCCTGAGCACAGATAGGGCAGGACCCGGGAGTGAGTCACCGGCACGGTGCACCTTGTCACATGACATCAACAGCCTATCACAGGCCCGCTTGTTCAGAACCATCAGGTTGGCAGGGTGGGAAGGGAAAAGGCCGACAAAGGGTAGAGTGTTGGGTGGCATCCACGGCTCCCCAGTGGTGAAACGCAGGCTCTGCCCTCTCGGCCCTCACCAGTCCCTTCTCTGAGCACACCTCGTGTGAGGGAGGCTGGGGGACACAGCCAGGCCTGGGTCCGCCTGCTGAAATGCTCCTCATTCCTTCTCTTTTCTGTGAGTGCAGCCAACTCACTCCCTGCGGTGCTTACCTTGGGGTCTCCCGAATGGGAAGAAGAGGAGGAGGAGATGGATCTTAGAGGCTTTAAGGAGCTGAGGCCTTTCTCGAACCCTGAGCTGGGGCTGATGGATGCCCTCCAGTGCCTGGAGAGCAGCGACTGGTGAGGAGACCCCTTCTCCCCCTACTGTGGGGGAGGGGCGGTGGCTCCTCCTCCCCACCTGCCTGTGACAGGTGCCTGGAACTCCCTTCTCAGGCAGATGAAGGAGAAGGGCCTGGTGAGCATCCAGCGCCTGGCGGCCTGTCATTCAGATGTCCTTGCTGGGAGGCTGCACGACGTGTCCTTGGCTGTGACCGGGGAGGTGAGACCACCTAGACAGCCTGTGTCCTCTGCACTGTGCCCTCCCTGGAGCCACTCCCCCTTCCCTGGTGCCGCTGTTTGGTGAGGGTCATATGGCAGCCACGGAGGGGCCATGGCTCCCTGAGACATGGCCTCCCTGCTTATTTCTCAGCCATTGAGGTAGCACCCATTTCTCAGATTAGAAAACTGGGGCTTGGGGTGTCCTTATTTCTCATCTCTGGGTATTGTAATAATCAGAATCCTCTGCCCGTTTGTCACAGCCCGGTGCTGTTCTCTGTACTCAGATGCCTGAGCAGGGCTGGAGGGTTCTGGGCTAGGTCTCTGCCTTCAGGGAAGTAACATTTCCCAAGGACTTTCCACCCTGGGGCTGGAGCTGGGACTAGGCTGGGCCCAGAGGGACAGAGGGGCCCCTTCCTGGGAATAGACTATTCCAGTGGGGGGGAGGGGTAGCTTGTGAAGACCAAATTGAACGTTATTTGTAAAAGTGCTTTGCTAAGTGTTGCCCAAATTTCAGATGTTCACATTTCAAATTACAGGTGGAATTAATTATGACAATGACAATAAAGTACTTGTTAAAAAATAGGGCTGTTTTGTCCAGAGCTGCTGCAGGGTTTTTGTTTCTACCTTGGCAACGCCAAGGCCTGTAATGCGGGTGGAAGTGGCAGGAGAGGGTGGTGATGTGTGCCCCATTCTTCATGTGTTCTGAAGCCCTTGGCAGGGTCCGACGGTCCTAGAGGGCCCCTCTCCCATCTCTCTCCTAGGTCACCAACCTCCGCTCCAAAGTGTCACGCCTGGCCATCGGCACCCTGGGAGACCTCTTCCAGGCCTTGAAGAAGAACATGGACCAGGAGGCGGAGGAGATCACCCGCTGCCTGCTCCAGAAGATGGGGAATACCAGCGAGTTCATCCAGAGAGCCGCCAACCGGTCCCTGGGAGCCATGGTGGAGCATGTGACCCCCGCCCGCTCCCTGGTGGCCCTCACCTCAGCGGGCATCTAGTACGTGCTGGCCCATTGTTGGAGGGGTGGGTTGGGAGGGTAAGATGAGGGGAAAGGCCCAGGGAGGGAGAGGAGCAGGCAGATAGAGCAGGTGCCTCACATGTGTACCTGGAGGAGGAAGACCCTGCCTCCCGGGGGGCTTCTGTCCCGCCTTTCCTGGGCCTTGCTGGGGGTGATGAGACGAGCTCAGGGCAGCCCTGGCCTCAGCTGGATGGGGAGAGCTGCTGTGTGCTGTTCAAGGCCGGGGAGATCATACTGTCTGTGGTAACATCTCCGGAGACTGGGCCAAGAGGCAGCCTGTGGCCTGTACCTCTCCCAGGGGAGGGTGTTCTTTCTGATGAAATCTGGCTGCGGGGAGAGCAAGGCACAAAATGTGACTTTAGCTCACGCCTTTTGGTCTTTTCCTGGGGCGGAGGAAGGTGCTCTCTACCTTCAGAGCCTTTCTGCAGCCAGATTTGCTTTCACCTTACGGAACCCAAACCAAAGCAAAACCAAAACCATTTCCCAAAGCCTTTCTGTCAACCCCAGAGCCAGTCACAATGCTCCTGCAGGAGGCTTTGCAGATAGACCCTGACAGACTGCAGACGGTTGCCTGGGTTCACATCCTAGAATGTTACTTAGCTTCTCTGTGCCTTGGTTTCCTCATCTGTAACACGGGGATAATAATGGTGTATTCCTCATAACATTGTGAGGAGTGAATGAACTGATTCATGAAAGAGCACTTAGAACAGTGCCTGCTTTCACTAGAACATTTATTGAGTGCTCACTGGGGCTGTTATTAACTTGGGAGCAATTAATTGTACTTTTTTTCTGGATTCTTCCCTTAGCCTCAGCTTCCTCACTGGTAAAATGATGATAACCATGGCTTATGGAGTTAAATCGATAATAGATGGAAGGTGTTTAGCAGGGTGCTAACTACAGAGCGTGCACTAACTACAGACTGAGCCACCCAATCATTGTTGCGGGAACCAGGGCAATCATTGTTGTGGGAACCAGGGTCAGGTGTCCTCAGGTTGCTTCTCCTGTCATTGCCATTGTCATCCTGGGTTCTGTGATCAGGATGTGGCTGCTCTTTCCTTGAAGAGTCCCTGTAGTCCATCTGAGACCGATTTCAGAGCCCATGCTGGCATGAAGCATGGATGCACAAGTATAGGCCCATGCGTGGCACTCTGGGGACCCCACACGCCATTCCTTGTCTGAACCCTTGACCCATTTTATTTCCTTTCAGCCACCGAAACCCCTTAGTCCGGAAATGCACTGCTGAACACCTCTCAGCCGTCCTGGAGCAGATAGGCGCCGAGAAGCTTCTCTCGGGCACCAGGGACAGCACAGATATGCTGGTGCACAACCTGGTGAGGCTGGCCCAAGACTCCAACCAGGACACCAGGTGATGCAGGGGCAGGGGCCTGGGGGCTGCTCACCTGGCCACCCCAGGGCAGACAAGGCAACCAGCCAACACTGATGGCCCTGGCCCACATCTCGACTTCCCTGGGGTCAAGGGAGCAACAGCCCAGACCAAAGCTGTGTGTTTTCCTCAGGGCTGCTGTCAGTCTCTGTGCACAGGCATAACCAGGCCTGTAGGAGGGGCCCACACTCCCCATCTCTGCCTCTGGTTCTCCCTCCCTTCTGCTGCCCTTCCTCCCCATCCTGGCCCACCCCAGCGCCCCCCTCTGGAAGACCACTCCTTCGTTCCCTTCAAGGATAGTGAAGAGATCACCCTTCATTATTAGGGATAGGGCAGTGAATAAGAAATAACAGGCCTCTGCTGTCCTGGAGCTCACCCCTAGTCTGCTAGGCAGATAATAAACAAAGAAATTATTATGATCCTTGCAGATATGGATAAGGGATACAGAGAGAAAAACACCAAGTTGTAATGGAGAATGGGGTGGCGGCTGCTTTGACTGAAAGTCTGGGGAGATCTTTCTGAAGGGTGACGTTTGAGTTGAGAGCAGATGGGCTAGCAGGAGCCAGGTGTTTGGGCATCTGGGGTGCGAGCGTCACAGCCAAAGGAAATAGTACAGAGGCCCGGTGTCTGAGGAAGAGGAAGACTGGGCAGCAGGGTGTCCGGTGAGCAGGAGGCAGTGGGCAGGCCATGAGGCGGATGGGACAGGGACAGGGCCAGGCCCGGCAGCGCCCCATGGGCCATAGTCAGGAGTTGGGATTTGGGCTGGTGTGTGACGGGAAGCCACCGGAGGATTTTTGGTAGGAGTCTGAGGAGATACTTCACTGGTGTTAAACAGAAGAGTGACAGAGCCTGATTCGCTGTCTAGAGCTAGGGTAGGGCCCAGTTAATCACACTCCTCAGTTCCCGGGACATTGTCACCAGGTCTGGAGACCATGCCAGCTCGGGGACTGCTCCGCAGCTGGGTTCCATGGCGAGCACCAGCCGGTGTCTTCATACCAGCAGGGTGCGGGTGCGCCCTCACCCCTGTGACAGGGCCCTTGTCACATCCGCACATAAGCTCCCTGATGGAGCAGAGAGCTGCTGGGAATGTGCCCTGGGGGCAGGACTGTGGTCAGGGGCACGTGTCCCCCTGATACAGCGGGGTGCCCTGGAGCACACTGTGCCCCTCCGAGCCCCCCTCCCACCCCCCCACCCCCACGGTGCCAGCGCCCACGTTGCGACCCTGCAATATCTGGATTTCTAATTTTCATTGATCTAATGGGTAAAAATAACAGCTCATTATTGTGTCACAGTGCTTCCCCTCCCTGATTACTGAGTTTGTTTCTTTATAGGCTCACTGCGCTTCTTGTTTTTAAAAATAATCTCTCTGGTTGCTCATTGGAGGATTGACAGGAGAGAGGGGGCAGGATGGGCGAAGGGCACCGGACAGAGGGCTGCTCCCCAGTCCCTGACAGGGGGTGCTGGAGGCCAGCAGAGGGTGGGCAGGGCTGGATCCGGGTGTCTTTTGAAGGAAGCGCCAACAGGATGTGGGTGGTGAGGCTTTCAAAGAGAAGTCAAAGATGCTGCTTGGGTTTTTAAGCTGAGCAGCTGGGTAAGTGATCGTGCCAATTACTGAAATGAGGAATGTTGGTGGGGAACCAGAGGGTTTTGGCTGATTTGTGTTTGATTGTTGGTAGGGGGTGGAAATCAAGATCTAATCTCTCTCCAGCCCCTCTCCTTTCTGACCTCTCTTCCATTGCAGGAGGTGACTACACTCCCCTTTCCTTCGTGGCACCTATGCCTCCCAGTGGCCCTGCATGCCCTGGTTCCTCTCTCCCTATGCGGCCCCCTCTCTGCCTGCCTGCAACAGCCGTGCTTTTGCTCTTGTCCCCGTCTTACAACTCTCCCTGAGCACTGTCACCACTTCCGTAGCTGAGCATCACTCTGATGCTTCCTAGGGTCTCCCTTCTCTGAGCATCAGTGCTTTACCTCTAATGCTTCCAGAAGACTCATTGCCAGATGTCCCACTGTTATCTTTGGGGCAGAGTGTCCCTCAGTGAACCCACTGCCTTCTCCCCAAGCCTGTTTCTCTGGCTGTGTTCCCTCTATTGTTTTTTTTTTTTTTTTTTTAACTATAATTTATTGTCAAATTGGCTAACATACAGTATGTTCTTGGTTTTGGGGTAGATTCCTGTGATTCATCGCTTATATACAAGACCCAGTGCCCATCCCTACAAGTGCCCTCCTCAATGCCCATCACCCATTTTCCTCCCCTCCCCCATCAACCCTTAGTTTGTTCTCTGTATTTAGGAGTTTCTTATGGTTTGGCTCCCTCCCTCTCTGTTTGTAACCATTCTATTGTTAAAAGTCACTATTATTTACTGAGTCATATCGATGATGCAAAATGGAGACCTTCCTATGTTTTCCTACTTTATTGATTCTAAGACACACAATATCCCCCCCCCCCATTTTAATATCTTACAATCAGAGGCATCTCACCGTTGTTGGCCAGGCAGCAATTTTGATCTGGGTTTTACCATCTGTGCATTTGCAAACTTGGTCATTATTGCTCATAGCATAAACCCTTGAGTTACAGTTTGCATTGTAGGAAGTAAACTATGAGCCTTTGTCTGCTTGTTAGCCTTTTATATTTATTTTAAGAAGTACTGTGGATGCTCTGCAGGGACTTGTTAAGTTTAATTGCTCTCTAAAATGTCTTAGAAATATTATACTATTATTTGGCATTGAAATGAAAAGTTATAGTGTATGAGAAAAGGCATGGAAATAGAGAGATGGAACATAAATTAGGTATTAATACAAACAGTCATCATGGAAGGAATGACCAAAATTCCACAATTTCTTACGAGGTCACCACCAAGTAGTTTACCCAACTTAAGGAGGGAAGGGCACTACCTAAAAGGAACGTGAACTGCATTTCTGAGATAATACAGAGAAGAGTTGTCTTCCCACATGGGGCAGTATCATAGAAGGCAGTGGAAATTGCCAGTGTTTTCTGTTTCTGTTTTTCCTTAGTGGAAAATAAGTCAATGGTGCATTTTACAATAGTAGAGTTTTAGGTTGAGTGAAATATGAGAACGGAAGATGCTTCATGCTCCACCTCCGGTCAGCTCCCACACCCCCACACCCGGAAGTTTCAACTTTCTCAGCAGGTCCTGAATCTGACGCCCCTTCTTACTCCTACTCCACTGCCTAATTTCAGGCCTTCATCGTCTCTTGCCTGGACTTCTATGGTGGCCTCTTAGCATGTCTCCTGCCCCCTCAACCCCTGCCTTGTTGACAGAGATGCATCCTCCACACTGCTCCCAGAGACATTCTGACTTCAGTGCAGTTCTGGTTCTTCCTCAGCTTCCCACTGTCTGCAGGTTAAACCCATCTCTGTCACGTTTCCAGAAACTGGGTCGTACCTTCTCTATATTCTGTTCTGTATCCAGGTCCTGCCCACTGTTTTCCAACCCCATGGCTGCTGACATGATATAACGGATCCTGGAATGATACCCCACAACTGCCCTCTTACTCCCTAATCCATCTCACTTGTAAACTCCTACTCATCTTTGTGTCCCAATCTAAGGTTCACCTCTTCTGTGAAGTCTTTCTTGATTCCCTCCCCCACCCACCACTGTTTACCAGTAGAGCTGACCACTTCCTCCCATACTGCCCCACGGCACCCTTCCTCAGACTTCTAGATGCCCCTTATTAGAAGAAGTTAAGTACATTTCAGTATAGTCATCCAATGGAATATTATGAATGCACTAAAAAAGATGACATGGGAAGATGATTAAAAAAGCCTGAGGCATTCTGATAGCAACGAAAATGTATATGCATCAAAAAAACTATAAGGAAATATGTAAAAATTTAATAGTTTTCTCTTGGTAATGGGGCTTTGGGTGATGTTTGTTTTTTGTTGAATCTAGTTTTTAACTGTCTTAATTAGCACAAGTATTAAAAACTCTGTTACTACAATTAGAAATCTTATATAAATCTGTAACGCAGATTTCTGATGCATTTCTATGACTATTTCTTCATCCCTTTCTTTCTCCTGTGGCAGGTTTTATGGCCGGAAGATGGTGAATATCTTGATGTCGAACACGAAGTTTGACGCATTTCTGAAGCAGAGCCTCCCATCCCATGACCTGCGGAAGGTCATGGCTGCCATTAAGCAGCGGGTGAGTCGGTGGCATGAGCAGGTTGGGGTGGAGATCAGAGCTGAGACGGTCAGGGGAATGTGCATTCCAGAGGCTTCCATTTCACCCCCAACTCCTGCCAAGTGAGATAAATGTGATTTCCTTCCTCTGTGCTTGGACCTGGTTCTGCTCCTCTCTGCCTGTGTCCCTTAAGCCTCTGGGCGCCTACACCATCTCCTGTTAAGTGGGGATCTTGACCCCTGCTCTGACTACCAGGGCTCTGAAAGGCTCAGCTGTGACTTGCCAAGTGGAAGGGGTTGTTCCTTTCATTATGGCATAGCCTGGAGTTGCTGGCAGTTGCCCAGAGGGCTACCCCTTTGGCTCATATTCTGTGTGCATTTTTCAAGGGAATAGAAGACAGTGATGGACTTCCATCTGCCAAGGGCCGCAAGGTGTCAAGGAGTTTGGTGCTGTGTGAGAACGGGCTGCCCGGCGAGGATGGGTATGTTGCTCTTGTGTGTCTGGGCTCCACATCGAAGGCTGACAACACAGATGTCCTGCTTGCCCTGGGCCAGGGGTGGCTCTGGGAGGCTATGCAGATCTGGGCTATGGTGGAGACCTGGTTGGGTCTGCAGCACTCATGGGTGAACTTATAGGAGGCGTTCACCCACCCAAATCTCAGGGAGACCATACCCTGGGATCAGAAGCACTCGTCAGAAGTTGGTCCCTGCAGCCTTGCCGAGTGGGTGTAATTCCACTTGTACAGGAGGGACATGCTGCTGGCCAGGCCATCTGTGTGAGCTCAGCGTTTCTCTACCTGCTTAGCGCAGCGCATCCTTTTGCCATCAGGGTGCCCAGCCTGGGACAAATTTAGAGGCAGAGCTGGAAGGAAGGTAGATGAGAGGGAATGGGTGGAGAGGCTGGATGGTGGGTGCTGGGAGGAGCCAGAAACCAAGCCAGAAACCAAACCCTCATCACTGATGTGCCTGAAACTCAAACTTCTTCTGTGGTGTCCCAGAAGGATCATATCTGAACTCCTTAGCAGGTGCTCAGAAAGCCCCCACCGTCTCTTTGAGGTTAGCTTCCTGCCCTTTCCCACACACGGTGTCTCAGCCAGACCAGAGCAGCTCATGGTTGCTGCACCTCCCCCTTCCCCACCATTCTGTCTCCTACGGTGTCTTTCTTTGCTTATGCTGAGCCACCTGCACCTAGAATATGTCAATTTATTCTGCAAGATTCCAGAAGATACAGATCACTGTCACTGTCTCCCTGAGGCTCTCTCTGACACTCTGTGCCCTCTGTTCTTCAGTTCTCTGTCAGCCGGTTGACTTACTTGTCTCCCATTGGTCTGTGAGCTCCTTAAGGCAAAGAGCGTGTCTCTCACCTCCCTCTTCTCAGTGCCCCGTACAGCTCTTGGCGCTCAGTGGGCAAACAGTGTGGCGTGTAGGATGGAATGACAGAATGGATGATGTTGGGCTCTGTCAGAGGGGACTTGGGTATAGGACATGAGCTCAGAGAGCTGGGTTCTGAGCTGGGGTGGGGGATAGGAGTCCTGTTTGGAACTGCTTTCATACTGGCTGGATTGGGTCAGGGGATATGATAGGTATGTGCTCCCTGCATAAGAGAACAGGGCAGCTTAACGTTTCCCCAGTCCCTGGAGAAGGGCAGGGCCTAGGCATCCAGGGCTCAGGATACAGGCACATGGCAAGACCTTTCCTCACTCGTACATTAAATGTGCCGTCTTTCTTTTGTGGACTCCCACGTCTCACTCTGATACCCACCCCCTGTTCTTCATGTGTTTTCTGAAAAGAGAAAAAAAAGGCAGGAAGAGAAAGCCCTGTCCTCTAATGAAAAAATGGGGCTCTCAGCAATCCGATTGTCGTCCCCTGAAGAAAAGGGGTTTCCAGAATTCCGAGGCCAGCGTCCTCAAGCAGCAGGTGGAAAGCTGGGGGTGGACTAGGCTGCAGGCGACACTCCTCTCTCAGTCCCACTTGTCTGTGGGAGGGGCATGGACAAGAGGTGCGTCTATCCTGTGGGGCTCACCCAGGTCAGAGGTTCCTTCTGCGTAGGCTCAGCTCCACCGGCCCTCGGCCAGCAGGGCTACGGCCCTCCATGCACGGCGGCCCGGAGGTGGAGGAGCGGCTTCGGGAGCTGACGCGGCTGCTGGAGGCCAAAGAATACCAGTCTCGGATGGAGGCCGTGGGGCGGCTCCTCGAGCACTGCCAGGCTGAGCCAGAGCTCATCACCGCCAACCTGGTCCAGGTGAGCGCCGCCCCATCCCTGCCCTCCGACCTGTCTCTCCCCTGTGGGTGCAGATTCAATTTGGAAAACTTAGGACAGGGTTTGACATCATGCCAGACCCCTCAGGGTAAAGGGAGCCTGAAAAACACCTGCTATCCCGTTGCCTTGGTAACGCTGTGGGCCTGCCTGGAAGTAGCTGGGGGAGGGGGGACAAAGGCATCACCTCTTGCCAGGCCCTTTGGAACCACCCAGAGATGTCCTGGGCATCTTTCATCCTTCTAGCAGGTTTATGGGAAGGAGGGTAGAGGTCAAAGATGCCATGGCTGAGGGCTGCTCCTGGTCTAGCCAGGCACATGATATTTTGGGGGCAGGGTATGTGCTTGGCCAGGGGACTGGCCAGGATGGTGGGACAGGTGGGTTAGGAGCAAGCACAGGCCTTTCACAGGCTGGAAAAGGGGCCAGATGCTTGCTTCTTCCAGGACTGAGGCTGCTGATTGTTAAGCTATGTAGCAGAGGAGTTAGGGCACAGGCTTGAAGTCAGCAGCCTCGCAGTGTGATCTGGGGCAAGTTGGTGAAACTCTATCTGCCTCAGGTTTTTTTTTTTTTTTTTTTTAATGGTAAACTGAGGATGGGGACACATGCCTCATGGGTTCAGATCATCCCGTGAGAGTGTGGGGTACCCAAAAAGATGCTCTACGTGTTTTGACGCAATGAGGGCTTAATATATGGTTGTTCTTTCCCTCTTTCCCTTTTGAGGAGGTGAGCTCATCGCTGAGAATGTTCTGGTGTAGTTTGGATGACCAGGAAGGTGGGAGGAATTCCTGCCAAGGGTGGTTGGTTGGGTTGTGGGCCTCCTGCCCAGCCTGGGTTCCCATGGGCTCTTGGTTTCTGTTCCCTCAACAGGTCTTTGATGCTTTCACCCCAAGGCTTCAGGACTCCAACAAGAAAGTGAACCAGTGGGCACTGGAGTCACTTGCCAAGATGATCCCCCTCCTCAAAGAAAGCTTACACCCTATGCTGCTTTCCATCATCATCGCTGTTGCAGACAACCTCAACTCCAAGAACTCGGGGATTTATACTGCGGCGGCAGCTGCACTGGACGCCATGATTGAAAGCCTGGGTGAGCCTCCTGCCACAGCCCTGCTTGGCTCCGATAGGCAGCGGGCTCCCTCTCTGAGCCCTCCCCAGGGTGGGCTCACCCTTCCTGGTGGGAATCAGCAGAGTACTGACAGGCACTGGAGGCCCTCAGGCCAAATGTTTCCCCAGAGGCCGCATAGGACAGGGGTGGACAGCCCAGGACCTGGCTGGGAGGCTTTTCCTTATCACATCCACCCGAGTGTCCTAGATGATCGGTGTGGAGATGTGGAGATGATTTAGTCTTGCCTCCTCAGAGTACATGTGACAGAAATGAGTCAGCCAGGGTCACTCAGGACTGAAGTGATTGAGCCAATAAGGCATGGAAGGAAAAATGGGTCAGGATTGCCAGGAGGAAGCTGGAAACAGTGGGTAACAGTGGGTAACAGGAAGATGGTAACAGTGGGTGTGGCTTGCATGAGGACCAGGCAGGATGGCGGTGAGAGAGCAGAGCAAGTCTGCTGGGGAGGACAAAGTCAAGGGGTGCATGGACCCAGGTGGGCCACCTTGATTGTCTGGTACAGGAATCAGACTGGGATCCCATTGGCTTTTGAGCATGGAATGGACAAGCGTTGCCTTTGAGGAAGACTGTTTAGGGCCAGGGCTCAGGGCAGGAGGAATTTAGGGGAGAGGGGTGGAGGGTGAAGGCAGAGTGGAAGTTGGGGTGGAATGAGAAGGAAAAGGGGAGGGAGCAATGGGAGAGACATCAAGAAAGGCAAGAGCTCCTCAGTTCCCATGTGCTTCGCACTAACACATCTTGGTTCTCCAAAATTAGGTGGGATTTTGGGCACAAGTTTCTCCATGCCTTTCATAGATGATTAGAAGGTGATATTGAGTATGCCTAGGACACAGACTGAACTGCAGGTGTGTGCATGACGTAGCACATGAGTGCAGTCATTCCAGACCCGAGGAACCCAGAGTTTTCACAAACCAGTCTTGCCTCAATGTGAGGAGGCTCATGCTTTGAGAACCACCTTCGTTGGCCTTGCTGTGTGTCCCGATGAGCACAGAGCGATGTCCTGCCTTCAGGCCCCACAGAGCATCCTCCTGGTGAGGCTGGAAACATGGGAGAGGCACCCCTCCCTCCTGGTGCCCACACCCTTCGCGAGCCCGGCTCCCTGGGGCTGGACAGCAGCTGTGTCCTTGGCTGGAACTTCTAGAAGCAGTTTCAGTTACAAATCAAAGGCCTGGTCAGGCCCTTCTCTGCCTCTTGAGTTCATAAATACTGTCAATTTCGTCTCTTCATCTCAAAGGGAATTTATGATTTGCTGAGTTTGTTGCTGTAGAACAAACAATATAAATCCAGCTTTAAATTACGGCTTGTTCACAGCACTGCTCTGGGTAAGTGAGATTGCTGTTGCCAATAACCAAGGCTCTTGGTAAATCACTGCGGGCCCTGGATTTATTGGGAAAACCTGCACCAAGCAAAATAGGCTTTAGCTATTTGAAGAGGCTAAGCACCCTTGTCTGTGGAGAGGAGCTGTAACCCTTTCCTCTCCACGTGCTGCTGTCTCCACTTTCTGCCCTTGGGCCATCCTCCTGGAACAGGCTGGAGCTTTGGGACTCTGGGCTGCAGAATCTGGTGTCTTCCATTGTCACAAGCCTCAGGGCTTCTCTACCTGAGGCCCTCCTCTACCCTCTCAGGCCAGACACCCTGGAAAGGGGGCCTGGAGACAGCCTGCTTTTGTGATCTGACCACACCTTGAAGCAGGTTGCAGCTTCCAGGAAAGATGCCTATAGTTGTCCTTTACTCCTGCGATGGGGTCTCCTTGGAAATGGCTCACGATATCCCCTCTGGCTCATCAGTGGGAGGATCTGATGGGAGGAGAATGGAGGCAAGCACGAGGGGCTCTATTTTCCTCTCTAACCTTCAGGTCAGTGTTAGGTTGGAATGGAATGTCGTTGGCCTGGAAGAGTTGGGTGGAGCCCAGTAATCCCCTGGCACAATGCTCCTGGGGGGCCCAAAGGATGAGGCCCAGGGTCTTGGCTCCAGGACATTTTGAGGAGGTGCAGCCGTGGCTCCAGGGGCCATGTGGCTGAGCCATGAGCCAGACTCACAGCCCAATGAGCTGCCTTGCTTTTGGAAGTGTTTTTAACTAGCTGATTTCTGTATCCAGAAAGGGCAGAGGTGGTCTGAGTCTGGCCTGCAGAGGGAAAAATGGATGCAAATAATTAAACTTCCCACTCACTGTCGCAGGGGATTGGGCGGTAGAAGTAGAGACTGGGGCAGGAGTGGCAGAAGAGAAGGGGGTGTAAATCTTCCTTCCCATGTCACCCAGCTGGAGTCTGGTGGCTCTGGTTGACCCTTAGCATCCCGAGGCCCCTTCTGGAAGTGGCTTGGAGTCCTTTGAGCAGAGGGAGCTTTTTTGCAAGCCTGGTGTCACCCCACCCCACACCCTAAGGGATTCTGGGCTCCAGGCTGGAGAGGAACAGTGAAATGCTGTGAAGTACTTAAATGTGGAGAGTCACAAAGGAATGGCTCAGCATGTTATGGTTTGTGTCCCATTCAACGGGGGCCAGGGAAACAAAAACACAGCCAGGGTAGTCCGTCTTCTGGCACAAAGTCCAGATGGCACAGCCAAGTTTGGAGGTTGGCCTTCTTAGGCAACCTTTTAAGATCCCTCTTGATTCTGGAATTCAGTGATACGTTGACTCAACAGCTCCCACATCTCTTCCAGTTCCTTGGTTTTCTCAAGGTGTATGGGGCTGGTAGTGCAGTGGTCGACAGAGCAGGTAGGGATTTCTGCCCACATCCCCTTTTTGGGGGGGTGGTGAGGAAGGAGACATGTGGGCACCTTGCTCTCTGCCCTCTGCCCTCTGTCACTGCTGGAAGGAACCTGGGGTTATTCTGAGGATAGAGGCAGCTCTGGAGCATACTGGTTGGTTCTGTCTCTAGGTCCTGTGACTGTGTCAGCTTCAGAAGAAACTTCACTAATTAAAACATCAATCAGGCTGCTGACAGCCACCCCCACTCCTGGTCGGACTGAGCATCAAAAGGAGTTCTCTTGATTAGCGTAGCCGCAGGCCAGTGCTGGAGAGAGCAGATAAGCTCAGAAATGGGCAGCTTCAGATCTACTTTTGCTATCTTGCTCTTCTGACTTTAAATTCTTTACCTTTTGTGCTCGCTTCGGCAGCACATATACTAAATTCTTTACCTTTTATAATCATATGACCAACATGGTATTGTTAAAGGAATTTAGAACCTCATCCATGCGGCCTCTCTAATACACCCACCCCTTAAAAATCTCTTCTATTTTTTGTCTACACGTGTATAGTTTTCCGTTGTTAGAGATTGTAGTGTAAACACAATTTAGACTTTGCTTCTTTCATTTAACTATCCAGTTTTCTATGCTATCATGTAGTCTTCCTACTTAACTTAAAAATATGAGGGGCGCCTGGGTGGCTCAGTTGGTTGAGCATCCGACTTCGGCTCAGGTCATGATCTCACGGTTCGTGGGTTCGAGCCCCATGTCGGGCTCTGTGCTGACGGCTTAGAGCCTGGAGCCTGTTTCAGATTCTGTGTCTCCCTCTCTCTCTGCTCCTTCCCTGCTCATTCTCTGTCTCTCTCACTCTTTCAAGGATAAATAAATATTAAAAAATTAAAAAAAAATATGAAGTTTACTTTCCATCATGTAAAAGTCATACTTATTAATTATTGAGAAAATGGAAAATACAAAGCATTTGAAAGGAAAAAATTTTCACCTTTAGTCTCAATTTCTGGAAGAGACAATTATTTTAAAAAAATGTTTTTTATGTTTGTTTATTTGGTGGGGGAGGGGCAGAGAGAGAGGGAGCGAGAATCCCAAGCAGGCTCTGCACTGTCAGCACAAAGCCTGACACGGGGTCTGACATGAGCATGCTCAATCTCATGGTTTGTGAGATCCCAACCTGAGCTGAAATCGAGAGTCGGACACTTAATCGACTGAGCCACCCAGGCGCCCCTGGAAGAGACCATTATTAACATTTGGCATTTTTCATTTTATTTATTTATTTTTACTTATTTATTTATTTAATGTTTTATTTTATTATTGAGACAGAGTGAAACAGAGCATGAGTTGGGGAAGGGCAGAGAGAGAGGGAGACGCAGAATCTGAAGCAGGCTCCAGTCTCTGAGCTGTCAGCACGAAGCCTGATGCAGGGCTCGAACCCATAAACTGTGAGATCATGACCTGAGCTGAAGTCAAACGCTTAACCAACTGAGCCACCCAGGTGCCCTGGCATTTTTCACTTTAGATTTTTATTTTTGCCTGTGTATGTTTGTGCAGAGTCATGATCATATTACACATTTAAATTTGTATCCAGCTTTTATTTTATTATTTTTTTAACATTTATATCTTACTGACAGACAGTGAGAGACAGAGCATGAGTAGGGGAGGAGCAGAGAGAGAGGGAGACACAGAATTTGAAGCAGGCTCCAGACTCTGAGCTGTCAGCACAGAGCCCGATGTGGGGCTCGAACTTACAAACCGCGAGATCATGACCTGAGCCAAAGTTGGATGCTCAACCGACTGAGCCACCCAGGTGCCCCTGTATCCAGCTTTAAAAAAAAAAAAAAAAAAGACCGTGAGCATTTGCATATGATTACACATCAGAGTCACTTTTTTTTTCTTTTTTAATGTTTTATTTATTTCTAGGAGAGAGAGAGAGAGACAGCGTGAGCAGGGGAAGGTCAGAGAGAGAGGGAGTCACAGACTGAAACAGGCTCCAGGCTCTGAGCTGGCAGTCAGCACAGAGCCTGACGCGGGGCTTAAACCCACAAACCGCGAAATCATGACCTAAGCGAAAGTAGGACACTTAACCGACTAAGCCACCCAGGCACCCCTCGGAGTCATTTTTTTTAACAAAAATATTTTTTATTAAGTTTTTAGTTATTTCTTTTGAGAGAGAGAGAGAGAACACAGGTCAGAGAGAACAGAGAGAGAGAAAGAATACCAAGCAGACTCCGCATTGTCAGCGCAGAGCCTGATGTGGGGACTCGAACCCATGAACTGTGAGATCATGACCTGAACTGAAGTCGGACGCTCAACCGACTGAGCCATCCAGGCATCCCTGGAGTCACTTTTAACAGGTCTGTCACGTGCTGGACCACAGCTTGCATTTTTCTTCCCACGTTTTCTGCAATGAATGCCCCTAGCTTGGGTGACTGTGTGACACGTCATGTTCATGGAGTCCTGTGCTTATTGTTGGGAGTCCAGTATCACTCCAGTTTCTTTGCTGTCGCTGTCCACGCTACCATACTTTGTATGCTTTAAAAACAGTTCTCTGGCTCCCCAGTAGCCTGAGGATGACGTGGTGTGGTGCGCTTAGGGCTTAGCTGCATGGGACAGGTGCAAGGCCCCGTAGACCTCCGCCCTCTTGCAGGGAGGGCAGGGTAGGTGGCCTGCCAGCCTGTGGCTGTTTTCTCTAGGCTGCTTGGCTCTGCTCGCTCTTTTGTACAGACAGCACCAAGGCCAGCTGTGGCTTCCTTGTGGCATAGAACAGGAGGAGCCTAGGAAAAGCCCCAGCTAACAGAGCATGGATTTTTTTTTTTTAATGTTTTATTTATTTCTAGGAGAGAGAGAGAGACAGCGTGAGCAGGGGAGGGTCAGAGAGAGAGGGAGTCACAGACTCTGAAACAGGCTCCAGGCTCTGAGCTGGCAGTCAGCACAGAGCCCGACGCGGGGCCCGAACCCCCGAACCGCGAGATCATGACCTAAGCGAAAGTCGGACGCTTAACCGACTAAGCCACCCAGGCGCCCCAGAGCATGGATTTTTTTTAAGGTTTCGGAAGTTAGATTCCAGCCTCTTAATGGTCTCGCTACCATTCAGACTGCTGGGATTTTGGAGCATTTTCAGGTAATAATAGTAACACTAGCAGCAATAGCTGATCCTTACATAGTAATTATATGCTCACGGCACTATCCTAAGTATCATAACATGATAGCAGTTCTAAGAGAAAGATATTATCCTCCTTTCATAGATGAATAAACTGAAGTGTATGAGGTTTGTCCAGTGTTAATATAGAGAAACGTGGAAGAGCCAGGATTCAGTCCAGGCGGCCTGGACCCGGAGCTTACACCCTTCACCATATATTTTCCTGCCTCTCAATAAACCTGGGTATGACCTGGTTAGTGAGCCATCACTACAGAAGCAGACAGAAGAAGAGAGGCCAGCTACTCGGGGTGTGGTGCTCTAGGGTTTATAAACCAGTTCGGGCATGTTTAATGTCTCTACTTTAACACTTCTTCTGGTCCTGGAGCAGTTATTGAGCACCTGTTGTGTGCCAGGCACATGGGAGCACTATCTGTCACATATGTGTGCCGGATGTGCATTTTCTAGTATCCCCCGAGTCCTTCACCTCTCTCTGGCTCTGGGAGGCCATGTCAGCCACCAGGAGGGAGAGGTCTGACTGTATCCAGAAAATGTCCTGGACCAAGTGTTGTTGGGGGAGAGTGAGGAGGCAGAAGTCCTTGTCCTTGGAGGTGAGCTCATGGCTAATGATGAGGGTGGACAAATAGAAGCACCTGGAAAAAAAACCAACAACAATGCAGATGACATGGATACCAAGTGGCCCTGAGACCGCTTCTCACTAACTGCAATGTTCTAGAAGTTGGCATCTCTTTTATTTCCCAGAACAAATGATTTTTTAAAAGACTCTTGCTTATGGATAGAGATTTTGCAGGCAACAGGGACGTGCGTGATGTTCGTGTGTACATCTCCTCCTCTGTACCCCTTCCAGCTCTCGGGAGGGGAGCGAGGGAAGCGGGAATGAGTTCTTAGCTAGAATTGTTGCCTGACGGGAAAAGTGAAGCTGTGCTCACCCGGGGGGATGCTGAGGTATTTAAGGGACTCAGGGAAGGTGGAGCTTGCCTGGAAAGACTTCCTCTGGTGGCTCTCTAATCTCTGTCCCCTGCTAAGGGAAATCTGGCCTTGAGCAGGCCAGCCTCTGGGATCCAGCACCTACTCTCTGGGGGCACCTGTGGTAACACCCACACAGACCTCTGTGACAGGCACAGGCAGGCCCACAGCCACACCCCTGAGGAGCGTGTTTGGTTGTTTGCACTCCCTCCCACGGGGTTACCCTGGATTGCCGAGGTTGCACACTGCTGAGAGCTGGGCATGGATTTCCTACGTTAGCACCCCTTTCTCAGGTAAAGGGCTACTTCCTCACCCTGTGCATCTTTATGAGGAATGCAGGACTTCAAGTTTAATAGTTTGAGAAATCAGGAGATGTCAGCCAGAATGGGGAAGAATGAGCAGTTTCTAAATTCAGCACCTGTGGGATCCTGCCAGAGTTGGCTTTAGAAATACCATCAAGGAGCCAGAGGGCTTCTTTACCCCCAAAACATTCCCCGCCATCCCCGCAGCTACCTGTGGTTTCACCATTAATGGTTTGTTCTAATAAACACTCTATCAGCTGGATGGGGACATGCCTAGTCCTCAGGCCCCACCATGAGCGTGGCTGGGTAGCAGCGAGAGCTGGTTGCTGGGGCTGGGCATAGGGGTGCTGGGAGGATTATTAAAAAAAAAAAGGTTAAAAAATCCCTCTTTCCCCTAAACCTCCTGAAAAGTGGGTTAGGGCATGTGGAAGATAACGAGCTCTGCTGTCTATACAAGTATGCCATCTGGGCCTGGGTCTCACACAGGGAGGTTATAGATAAACTATTAGAGCTAATACATGCCCCCCATCCTTGCACAGTCCTTCCTGGGACCCAACTAGAGCCAGCCAGATGCTTCTGCTGCCGCTGGGGTGACCAACCATCCTGGTTTGCCCGGGGCTGGGGGGCAAACCCTCTTTTGCCCCCAAACTCAATTTTAAGGAAGCACAGATAATAGGAACCATATCTGTGGGAGTCAACGAAGCCTCTTGGGGAAGCCGGTGTGACTATGCCAGGTCGTTCGTTCTTCCCTGAACAATGCATTGCGACTGGGAACATTTAATTCAGCCCCCAACGGGCCCCTTTCCCTAGGTAGGTGTTGCAGGTACCTGGAGCTGAACGGCACTGACCCGGCCACAGCGTCCCGGCCGCTGACCCTCTCCCTCTCTTCCAGACAACCTTTGCCTCCTACAAGCATTTGCTGGGCGGGTGCGCTTCCTGAGTGGCCGCGCAGTGCTTGATGTCACAGAGCGTCTGTCCGGTGAGTGTCCCCATATCTCCTCCCCCTAGCCTTCCAGTCCATCTCTGTTCTTCTCCCCCAGCATGTAAAACCACCCACTATCTTAGACCCCCAAATAATCACATCAACCTTTAAAAAAAATTTAGTAGTCTTCCTTTTTATAAATAATTCCCGCATTATCCAAAGATAATCTTTGCCTTTGACCGCAATGACAAAGGTTTGTACATAAACAAAATAGCTTTTAAGGAACTATTATGGGGGTGCCTGGGTGGCTCAGTCGGTTGAGTGTCCGACTTCGGCTCAGGTCATGATCTCACAGCTTGTGAGTTCGAGACCTGCTTCGGGCTCTGTGCTGAAGCTCAGAGCCTGGAGCCTGCTTTAGATTCTGTGTGTGTCTCCCTCCCCTGTTCTCACTCTGTCTCTCTCAAAAATAAACACTAAAAAATTTTTTAAAAATATATTATGCATTTCTTCTTTGCAAACAGGATGTCCACTAATCCATAGGGTATCTGTGTGTGAATCAGAAAAATAAAAAACCCACCTCTTCTGGGTAGATCTTGCCTCCCAGGCACACGGCTTGGTCAGCGGCCACACTGTTGCACACATCAGCGTTGGCTCTTGTTGGGCACACGCAGCCTGGGAAGCAGAGCACAGGCGGGATTTCAGCCCCCCTTGACCTTCACCGGGTGCCGGGGACTGCAGTATGTGGGGGCTGGGGCCTCGGCCTGCATCTGCTCTGCTGCCGTCAAGCTTTGGCTGAGGGGAGCTTTGCTCCCAGGCAGCGTCTCCTTTGAGTCTACAATCTCGAGCGATTCCATTCCAGTACTGAAACCTCCTGTGGCGCGTGAGGAGGCAGCATGGGGGAGGACCTAGGCCTTGTGGTCGTACAGAGCCACTTGCCACATGCCCATTGTGGTCTTGGGCAGGGTATTTAACTTGGCTTTTTAATCTTCCATGCTTGCCCAAAGCCTCCCCCACCTTCTTGGGAAGGAGGCTGAAGGGCTCTGTTCTCCAGACTTCTGAGCGCCCCACCTCTAAAATGCAGACAGGTTGTGCTCCTGAACTGTCATGTGGGCTGTCTTCAGGAGAGTGTCCAGGCTACCTGGCGTGACCTTCCAGGCTCTCCCTCCCCTTCCCCAGTTAGATGCGCTGGATCATTGACTCCTCCTAACAATCTCATAAGAAGGCTGTGGGTTCTATGATTATCTGGTTTTGTAGAAGTAAGGAAAGTGGAGCTCGGAAAGGTTACACGCCCAAGGTCCCTTAGCAAGCAATCCCGGCTTTGTCCCCAGAAGCCTGGCTGCAGAGCCTCCGTGCTGTGTCGCCTCTCCCTGAGTGACCCCTGCCTTGCCCCCTGGGCACCAGCATGCCCCCCACCTTGCCAGGGCCAATCTCCCATCCTCTGCCCTGTCCTGCCCACACGCGGCTCCCAGCCTGCAGGGCCCTTCTCTACCCTTCTTCCTCCACCTGGGTGGTGCCGGCCTGGTTCTGGCATCAACCTCTGTGTCCCCTTTCTCCCTACGAGCCCCTGCCTGAGTTTCAGGAACCTCTCAGGAGCATGTCCCACCCTGTGCTGGCCTCAGTCCACATTGGGGGTGCTCAGCGCATGTTGGCTGCCTGAGGTTGTTATTCGGCTCCTCCACCGCCCTATCTTGCTCTTGGCCTTGCCTCTGTGCCCTGGTTCAGCCCTTCCAGTGTCCCTGGAGCAGATCCTTACCTTCCATCCAGGTGACAGACCTTCTCCAAGCACAGTAGGGCTGGGGGCTCCGGTGCAGCCACAGTGCCATGTTGTTGGTGCCCCGGAGCCCCCTAACTGAGACCTCCTGGATACAGCCAAGGAACCCTTTTCTGTTGCTCAAAATCAACATTCTCTGGGCGAAACCCTTACCTGTCCTTGTGTGTGTGATGCATGGGTCCCAGAGGTAGATGGCTACCTCGCTTTAGATTCTCCATTTAACTGTAAATATTTTCCATCTGTCTCCAAGAGACCTCAAAAGCAAGAGTTTCTACACAACTCTCCTGTAAGTGGGGCCCAGCCAGGAACAGAGAAGGAAATTTCAATCGACACTCGGTGTGGACTAATAATAGCACGGCTTAACAGGAGTAAATCTTTTGCTAATTACTTCAGCTGCCTTTTAAGCTCAAATTTAATGGGTTTTCTTCCCCATGATGACTCCCAGAAGGGCCATAGCCGCCCCTGCCAGCTTGAGAGGCTCCCCCGCTGTCAGCCAGGTGACCTCCACCTCCTGTGTCCCAGGAACGTGGGCCTGACTGCAGAAGTGAGCTTCCTGGGCTCGGCCGTGAAGGCCTCACTGCCGGGAGGGACAGAAGTCAGGTGTGAGTGCAGCGTGCTGGGCCCGGGGCTGGGCGAACCCCTCACCCTTGGGTGGGCACAGGGGAGCCCTGCCTGGGCCTGGTTCTTGGGATGGCTCTCTCCTTGGCTTGCAGATTAGATCCTGTGGAGGTTTAGGAAGACTTTGAGTCATACTTGTTCAGTATGGATGGCTAATGAGGATTACTGGTTTTCTTTTGTGCCCTCTGGCCACCCCACCCCTCCTTGCGCCGCTCCTAGCCTCCCTCCACCTTGCAGCTGCCCCGATGGCTTTGCTGTTAACTGTGGTCTCCTTCTCAGCCTGTCTCTAGCTTCAAAGGCTGTCTCCAGCTCCCACCTCTCTTAATGAGGCTGCTCACCCCCAGCGTGGCTGGGTTGAGTCACTGAGTGCCATCCCAGGAATGAGGACCGCCTTTATTTCTGAGGGCTCTGTGACACTAGGGAGCCCCTGGGAGGTCCCACAGTGTGGGGTGCAGGAGCCCTAAGGGTGTAGCCTAAAAGCCAATGTACACATTCTATAGGAAATGGTATGGTTTGAGTGTCAGGCTGAGTCCAGGAGGCCAGCTCGTCTTCTCTGGTCTCCTGTTGTCTGAGGCTGGCTCTGGAGTCAGAGAGGCCCCGTGGGAAATATCCTGGAGGGTTGGATGATGTTAAGCTGGTGAAGAAAGGACAAACTAGAGGCTTCACTAAGAATGAAACAAAACACACCAGCCTCTGAAATGTGGAACTCCAGGAGGATGGGGGCAGCGAGGGGTGAAGAGCATGAGCTTTGGAGTCAACACAGGCTTGACTTCTGCCCTCTGCCCTTGTTAGCCGTATGGTCTTGGGCAGGCTCCTTGACTCCTGAGTGTTGGCTTCCTCCTCTGTAAGATGGACTGGTGTCCTGCCTGTTGAGGTACCCTGAGAACAATGGAGTCATGCTGCAAAGCTCAGAGCCCCAGACTCAGGACTCAGGCAGTGTTAGGTTCCCGGGTGTGTCTCGGCCCAGGGAACCTTCCAGTTTCTTTGCTCCATAAATAAGTAAAGTGCATCTCTCGGCATCATAAGTAAAGAGCCCTCGCCAGCCGTCTTCCTTCGGCAGGATGACTGGCAGGATGCGCTGATTGTGTAGAGAAAGCACTGTTAGTACAAATACACTCCAGGTAGTGTGGCCATGGCCGATGGCTGGAGCAGTGGCTCTGAAGTTATTTGGGGTAGCTCTTGAGGTGGCTTTGACCCCGACATTTACTTGGTGACAGAGGGCTTGCTGGCAGGGTATCCTGCTTCTGGGTTTTCTGGGGATTAAAAAAGGTAGAGAGCCTGGGATAACCAGATTTCAGGGGTTCCTCACTGAATCAAGGGTCTGTGGAGAGCCTGGCGGTTGACACAGCACATTCAGGCCTCCTGGATCACTGCTGGCCTTACGTGAGGTTTGGCATCCAGACCCTGGGGAGGCCACACTGGGCTTATCTCCTGCTGGCTGTTCTTTTTTCAGAAGGCTTCGGCTGAGAGAGCGTTGGCTTTCCTCCCTGGTACAAGTGTTTGTTTGTGTGAAGTTACAGAGGTGGGAATGGGGATTGAAGTAAGACTAGCACTAGCTACTGTCTATCACCTGCCTACCTACTTGGGCACCTCACATACATTTATTATCTAAGCTCTAACTGTCTCGAGAGTTTGGCTCAGGAGTATTATCCTTAGATTAGGGAACAGTCTCAGAATGGTTGGGTGGCTTTCTTGAGCTCACACAGCTAGTAAAGAGCAGAGGCAGGATTGTGGTCCAGCCATGTCTGCCTCTTTCCTCTTCCCTGGTGTGCAGGGACCAATGACCACGATCATGGACTCTGAGCGTTTTTGCTTTTGCAGACTCATTCCTCCATTAAAAAAAAAAAGTTAAAAGTTGTATTTTACAACTGGTTGGTATAGACATGAATATAAATTGGGCTGGATATCTTCATATTATTTTCTCTGGATTTTCTTTTTTCTTTTTCTTTTTTAATTTTTTAAATGTTTATTCATTTTTTTGAGAAAGAGAGAAAACAAGAGTAGGGAGAGGTAGAGAGAGAGGGAGACACAGAATCCAAAGTAGGCTCTAGGCTCTGAGCTATCAGCACAGAGCCTGCCTGATGTGAGACTCGAACTCACAAGCCATGAGATCATGACCTAAGCTGAAGTCGGACGCTTAACCGACTGAACCACGCAGGTGCCCCTTTCTCTGTATTTTCAAGAAATCAGAACATTTCCGGGGGCCCCTCAAAGTATCCTGAGCCCTAGGTCATGTGTTTGTTGGCTCTTCTGGGCTGCCTGCCCTTTGGGGGATAGAACTGGTGCCCCAAGAGAGGGCAGGGAGAGAGAGAGAGAGAGAGCGCCTGCCTTAAGTGACTCTCCTGTTTTCTGTCCGACAGTGCTGGTGGCCTCCGTTTACCCCCAAAAGCCCCAGGCCGTGGAGCGCCAGGTCCTTCCGGTCCTCTGGTATTTCCTGAACAACATGACTGGGAACGGCGTCCTGCCCGGGCATGGCGGGAACGTCCGCGCGGCGGTGTGCCGGCTGTCCAGGAGCCTCCAGGGACAGATGGGCTCCCGGCTGCAGGCCCTGGCCGCTGGCCAGCCAAAGCAAGTCCTCAAAACGCTCCAAGAACTCTTAGACACAGAATCCCAGTGAGGCAGCCCCCACCAATGTCACCGACAGAGGGATGGCATCTGACATCGAGACAGCTGGCAGCTCATGCCCCTTTCGGCTGGGTTAAAGACGGATCTGAAATGGGGCAGTCATAATTTTTTAACTTACTTTATTTTTATGATGGAACAGTTTCCTGGTCGACTTTCTCTTAGAGTTCCAGATGCACATAGTATATTTTGAAGTAGGAATAAAGGACTTATTTATTTTTCTAAGGTTTTCTTATCGTGTGCTTTTTTAACCTCAGAGAATTTTTCATAACTAGGCTTATGACAAAGAAAACAAGACAACAGCAAAATCAGCTGCAGATGACGTGGGAATGAAGAATCGGGGAGAAAAAGGGTTGCATGGACCCGTGTGCTGCAGACCATTTTTGGGCACGGCCCCCTAGCTGTGACAGGCTGGACAAACCCTCCTGAACCCAGAGACCCTGAGTTGGCCATTTAAACCCAGTCCATTTGTTATAAGCCTGATTTGAGGTGAGTAGGGCAAATGTCTCCAGGGTTGTCCTGATCCTGTGGGAGCCTTCTTTTTCTTTACTTCTTTTTCTTTACTTCTTTCTTTTTTTTTTTTATGTTTGTTTATTATTTATTTTGAGAGAGAGAAAGAGGGGGAGAGAGAGAGAGAGAGACGGAGAGAAAGGGTAGAAGTGGGGGAGGGGCAGAGAGAGAGAGAGAGAATCCCAAGGAGGCTTCTCACTGTCAGTGCAGAGCCTGACGGGAGGCTCAAACTCATGAACCGTGGGATAATAACCTGAGCCAAGATCAAGAGTGGGCTGCTTAACCCAGGTGCCCCTCTGTGGGAATCTTCTAATAGATCTGTCCAGCTTCTCAAAAGGCAGGGGAGTGTGACATTTGCATTACTACAAGCCTTCTCAGCAAGACAGCACTCCAGCTAGCCCTGCAGAGGGTCAGATGATGTTTCACACTTGAAATGCCATAAATGAAAGCACTTGGTCAAGCATAAAAGCTACATGATGTGCAGATGTCATGTGGGAGCTCTGAAATCACATGGGTTCCTCCGTGGGGGGCTGGGTTGGGAGGGGTGTGTTGGATACAGGATGTGCCAGAACTCGGGGGAAGTGGAGGGAAAGTGTTGCCCACTGATGGAGCAGCCAGAGAAATGGGGTCCTGCAGGGAGAGAGCGAGGGCTGGCCTGGGGCTCTAACACAGTAAGAGTGGCTCTGCCTTGCCTGGGGCCCGTGGCAGATTGGCAATAGTGTGGCCAGGAGGAGTTAGGGCTCAGGTCATTACCTCAAACGCATGCGTAAGGTGAAAGCTAAAGGGGCAGCAGTCCGGTCCCAGCCCAGGAGCCCAGCCTGACCCACAGAGACACTCTGGGCAGAACCCCGTGCAAGCTTGCTGGCCGGCCCCAGAGGTGGACCCCGTCCACTGTCACCCAGCTCGAGGTGTTCCACATCACTGTTCTGAGCCTCTCCTTACCGGTATGGCCCAGAGCAGGCTGGGAAGCCCCAATTCAATTCACTTATACATTTCCATGTTCATGGGGATCCCTGGTGGACAAAGCCACTCTTTCATTTTGCCTGTGTGGCCAGATACAGCGAGGCTGGCTCCTGCCATCGCCCCCTGCCCTCCCCCGCCCTCCCCTCCCCAATGCTCCAGGGCAAGGTTGGGTATGGCACAATCATCCTGGGACTGGGGCTTTTAATAGGTGGCTTAAGTGTGACTTTGAGTAATTCTAGCCCCAGCAGGAGCTGCTTCTCACTAATTGTGACCCCAGCAGGGGCTTCCCAGCAACCACTTCCCTCCCCCGATTCTGACTGAAGCAGGTTAAAGGCCTGCTAGACAGGGAGTCATGAAAGATGCCCGAGAGGCTGATTTTTAAACATTTTAAAGTTTTACACAATTTAATTAACGGTGTTTGCTTGGAGTCTGAGCAGACTCTTTGGGTTTGGTGGGGAGACTGACCTTTTCAGCTTGGCAAGATCCTAGAGCCTGTAGGAGCCCAAGGATGCAGAGTCTGGCAGGGATTTTGAAGGCAGAAAGTAAGCTCAAAGGCGTCATCCTGTCATCCTGCTTCTGGGTCCCGTTTTCCAAGGACGCCTTCAAAATGGAGGCTTCCCAGTCCCTGTGCTCTGTTCCCACCCTCCTGGGTAGAAGTGTTTAAAGCAACTGAGAACAGCTGAAAAGCAATGAATAACTCTGCAAGGTTCTGTCTTTCTCCACTATTTCAAGTTTAGATCATGTCTCTGGGCAATGCCACTTACCTAGCCCCACTGGGGAGGGCCTGGGTGGTTCTTTCGGGCCCTTAGGAAATTTCAGCCTTAAAAGGTTTCCCACATCATTGCTTTTTAAAAAAATTTTTTTAATTAAAGAAATTTTTTCAAATGTTTATTTATTTTAGAGAGAGAAAAGCAGGGGGAGGGGCAGAGAGGGAGGGAGATACAGAATTTGAAGCAGTCTCCAGGCTGAAGCAGGCTCCAGACTCTGAGCTGTCGGCACAGAGCCCGACGCGGGGCTCGAACTCATGAACCACAAGATCATGACCTGAGCTTAAGTTGGATGCTCAAAGAACTGAGCCACCTAGGTGCCCCTCCCACATCATTACTTTTGAAACAAAGGGAAGCCAGCATATTAGTCTGGGTCTGTCCGGAGTGCTTGCCGGAAGGAGGCCCCTAATGGCCAGTCAGCCGTGGGAAATGAAGATTGAGAGCCAGGGTGGGTTTGAGCCATGCCCACCCCATTCTTTGCTTGGCTGTGTGTGCAGCCAGGAACTCTACCTCCTGAAGATGTGCTTGGGGTGGGAACACAGCTTCTAGCTATGAAGGGCCCTTCTCTCCCTCCAGTGTAAGAATTAACGACTAGACTTGTCTGAGAACATATATCTGCTTAGGACTTTCTGAGACTTTAGGAAAAGCTGCCTACAGGCCCTGCTTCTCATCTTGTTTTCTTTTCCCTGACTGATGTCAGGACCCCACTCCTAGGGATTTTGATTTAATTGCTATGGGGTGGGGCCCACAGCACTGTCTTTTCTTTCTTTTTCTCCCCCTCAGCTTTATTAGGATACAGTGGACACATAACACTGTGTGAGTGTAAGGTGTACAATGTGTTGATTTGATACATTTATATATTGGGAAGTGATTACCACCATAGCCTTAGCTACCACTTCAGTCCCATCACGGAACTACTGTTTCTTTTTTGTGTTGAGATTTATTCTCTTAGCAACATTCAAGTATATGATACAGAATAAGTAGCTATAACCACCAGGCTGTTCATTAAGTCCAGAGAATTTGTTAATCTTATAACTAGAAGTCTGTACACTTTGATTACCCCCCCCCCCTTTCCCCTTGGAGCAGCTGGGCTGGAGAAGCAGTGCCCTAAGAGCCCGCTCCCCGCTGGGCTCCGGCAGTTCTTCCCTCGAGGGGGTGGGGGTGGGGGGGTTTGCTCACCAGGTGGCCGTTTCTGAGTCTGGGACCAGTAGGGGCTTCCAGTTTGGTCCTTACCATTACTGGGGCTTATTCAGGAGAGTGTTATGTCTTCTCCATGTCCTGTCGCCTGGTGTTTCGGTGAAGAAGGCTGTAACATTTGAAGGTTTTGTGTTGTTTTAATCACGGCTTTATAATTACCTCTCTGTGGGTTGACAGCTGTTATTAGCGTCACCTTGGGCTCTCCTTGAGAATCTTTGCATCCAGAAAGTGATCCAGCACCTCTGAGGCTGGTGTCAGAAGCCATTAACTAAACAATAGCTTTAAAAAGTCTCCAGGTTTTGTAAACACAGCCAATCCTGTCCCCTTCCAAAGGAGGGGGCGGAAAAAGCCAGATAAATAAGTTTCATGGAGGCAATTTGTTTCCCAGGGTCTATATTTCCTCTCTGTCTCATCCATTGGCTTTTACTACTTTGGGCCACTAGCAGTAAAGTGGCAGTGCTATCTGTTACAGTGCCTGTTCCCTGTGGGGGAGTTTCACCTAGAAGCCCACGTCGGGGGTGGGGGGTTCAGGGAACAGGGAACAAAGATTTTTAAAAAAAATTTTTGAAAATGACTTTTCTTTTGTTGTTGTTGTTGTTTTTTTTAATGCCAGGGCAGCGGTGGGGAGGGACAGGGAGAAGTTGAGGTACCTAGAGGGGATTATTATTTTCTAAAATTCTCTTGGAAATTTTGTTTTGGATTTCCATCCAAGCCAGTTTAAGAGGTATAGCTAAAATTACAGCAGGCCTTTGGCTGGATATGAAAAATAATGTCCCCTTTGTAAATGCTGGAGAAAACTGAGAATTTCTGCCAAAGAAGGTTGTGGTATCTTTTAGAATAATCTAAATACTGCTGGCAGTAGGTATTAGAACCGAGGCTGAGCAGAGCAGGAGCTCGGGAATGAATATGTCACCAGCTGGGCATGTGTCTTTGGAACAAATATTTGACATTCCCTCGGCCTTTTTTTCTTCTTTTTCATTTTTATAAGGTGTTGAAAAAAAAGACTGGCTTTGTTCATCTCACGGGAGTTTTGAAAACTCTAGTAAAACAATGTAGATCATCGCGTTTTGAAAATGTAGCGTGTTACACACAAAGAAAAGGTATAATTATCACCCAGTCTGGCCTCAGCCCAGTGAGACCTGCTGTTCAGGAAGCACCGAAGTCAGAATCTGACTGACAGATTACCCACCACTCCACAAGGGAATAAATGGGAGATTCGGAAGCTTGATTTTTTTTTTCCCATTTGGAATATTTGACATTTGTAGTCGTGTCTGCAAGCAAAATGTTTTAAAGTCTTTTCACTTTGAAAGACACAGAACCCTACAGAGAAGGAAGTCAGCTCTAGCCACGTTTTCTCTGAGAATCAAAGCGCAGATCTGAAAGGAGGAGGGGAACCGTACTTTTCGTAATCAGGATCTCCAAGTGTGGAGGCGGCAGAGGGGAACATTACCAACGAGGGGAGGAGGGACCGTCAGTTCAGCTTTTCCAGATGGCTCAATAAGATGGTTTAGAAGAAGCAGGTTTGCCCGTGTCTCGTAGATGGCGGGGTAAGGAGGTTGGCAGTGTCAGGGCGGCTTTACAGATGAAGAAACGGGTCCCTAGAAGCCGGGCTGCAGGGCGGTGGGATGGAGGTGTTCAGTCTCAGGCTTCTGTGTCCCAGTTCCAACCATCAGGAGTAGGATGAACTCTGACTCCCCTGGGCGACCCTCGCATTCACCACACCCCTCCTCTTTCCTCCGTCACCTTGTTTCTTTGATTTGTCCCTGTCTCAGGTCTCAGGCCCAC